GAAAAGCTGACCCAAGTATAGCTCCATAGCTTTACACTGGAGATGCAAAAGGCTTCCTGCTGGTTGCAATGTCTTGGTTCTCCTCTCAGGTGAGCGAGCACAGATGTTCATCACAAGATAAAGAAGTGAAGCGTGATGCTGCGCTGCCAGGGAGCACTGTCTGCCCCCTCCACTGTGACAGGAGGAGAATTGCACTGTGGTTGGCAGCCCTTTGCATAGTTTTGGGGGCCTGTTACCTTTTTGAGGCTGGTAACATCATGACTGAGGTTGCAGGTATCTTGGTACCACGTGTGTATTATAGAATGTGTGAAGCAGATTTTAAAATCCCCATAATTGAGTTTCCTTTCAATAGAGTGGAGCAGAACCTTTGCACCCCGTTCCCACAGATCAAGCAGAGCCAGAGCGGACACCACTGCCTGGCCTCTGGAAGTCAGGAGCTTGCATTTAGAAACAGGAGCAGAATGTGATAACTCCCAGAGGGAGAATAAGTCCTTGAAGCAAGATCTGCTCCTTCTGGTGTTCTGTGCATCACTGGTACTTGTTCTTTGCTAGGAAGTATCAGGAGTTCATCCTTTAGTCCTTGGGCACAGCTTGCAAATGCCTTTGCAAACTCTTACTTGCTTAGTGCTGGGCAAGTTAATTGGTGCTGCACTGATTGCTATGGTTTGGGTTTATTCATCTAAAAAGTTGTGTGGGTTTGACTTTTCCTCCCTCTTCCATCTTATTGTAATTACCCTGAATTCCTTCTCCCTGCCTCTCCCATGCGTTCCCGTTGGATTTTAAGCAGAGAAATGGGGACGATTCCAGAGCCTGAAGACAGGTGAAATCCCTTGCAATGGAATAACTGGCAACTGGAAAACTACAATCTCTCAAAACTGGGCTGAAGAGCGAAAATATGGAGTATCCGGAAGCAAAGCAGGAGTTGACAGTTCATTATGTGTCTTCATCCCAGTCAGAGTCTCTGCAGAGCAAACTTAAAGCTATAAAGCAGAAAAGCCAACATAAACAAGTGCTCCAAATCCCATTGACAGCTTTAGACCCAGGACTAGAGAGGAAAAAAACAACCCAAGTGCAAAGGATGTTTATGAGACTAAATGTTCTGGATTTGTTTACCACTCCTCTGTGTCTCTGCCAGCCTCAGCGCTCCTGGTTCAGGAGGAGCCGAACTGGCTGCTTTGGGTTTGGAGGGGGGCATTTCTGAAGCAAAGCACATCTTTGATTCTGGAAGCTTCCTTCCCTCTTCATTCAGCAGGAGGGACCAGGTGTCTAGCAGCTCTTTCTCCAGTGTGATGCAGGTATGATTTCAGTAGCAGAGCAAAAAGGTGCCGCAGGCAAAGCTTGGTGCCATCCTGCCAGTCCTTGAACCTAAGCTGTGTACAATAGGTGGTTGTGGAGGCAGCATTCAAGAGACACAAGGTAGGAAACAAGTGAGAGAAAAGAGAGGCACAAAGAGATATCCTTGAAGAGCTGCAGTAATTCACTTGCACAAAGAGAATCTCAGAATGCAAATCCTGCTCCTGTTCTTCATCCCCTCCTTGGAGGGAACCATCAATAATTTGACCATTTCTCTTATTGAATTTCTCCTGATTCCAGGAAGGCTCCAGGCTTGTGCCACGTCTTGCTGCAACCAGAGGTGTCAGATTCTCAGAAACAGCTTCATCTGCCGAGGTTTTCAGACCCAAGCTATTTAGAAAAGGATTTTTTTTGTCTGTTTATCTGAACTCAGATTGAACTGTTGAAAAGTTTGAGGCTTGTCCCTAATAGAAACATGGGTTTGAATCACTGAAATATCCCTCACCATAAACACAGCCTTCAAAGTGAGCAGAGGTGGTTGTGCTTTCTTGGTACATGTTTTGCCTGGAGTCGAGGCTATTACCTTAAGCTCATTTCAAGGATATGGAAATCTTACAAATGGATCCCATACAGTTTCTGCACTTCTCTTGAGTGGGGGAAAACTTACTCCTGCAGCCAAAGGACAAGGATTCATTGGAATCTGAAATCTGTAACATCTGTACTCAGATCTGAACCTTTTTGAGCATTGCCTGGAACCCACCAGTGGGACCTGGGGGTTAAACCACTCTCTGCTTGTTTCTGCTGACTGTTTTCAGCATGGCAGTTCCCATTTCAGGCTCTGCTTCTGGCACTGAGGACCCTTGTACCAGCAGGACACCACTGCCCACCATTCCTGAGTGGTTTGTAGCCTTCTGCAATGCCACCTGGCTGCCTTTTGGCCATTTTCCATTTAGCCTGACCTGTTTCTGAAACCCTGGACCAATGTAAAGGTCGATCATCACAGCAGGAGAAGATGCGGAGATTCCCAAAGCTGACGAGGGTTGTGCTCCCTCACTGCCTTTTGAAAAGGAAGTTTTCACTGATGCTGTTTGGAGCCTTATGGTGGGTGAGTAGTTTCCCTGTCAGAGTTGTTCAGGTTTGCAAAGTTATTTGGCAAAAAGCAAATAACACCAGTTTAGATCTGCCTTCTTGGAAGTGCATCATTTTGATGCCAACCTTTGTTGATTCATCATTGCTTGCTAGAAAGGAAGTTGCATTTCATGACACAACCATGTCTCAAGCAAAAAGCCTGAAGTTTTCGTTTTGGAGAAGGTCAAAACAAGACACTGCAGCAATTTTCAGGCTTTGTTGCAACTTCATTTTCTTCCAGCCAGGAAGTTTGACAAAAATAATCCTTACCAAGAAAAGTTTTGTGTTCAGCGAATCAACATTTTTGTGTTTTTCCCAGAGAAAAACACTCCTGGAAAAATTCCTGCTTTGAGGTTGGTTTAAATTTGAACAAACCAACAGTGTCTCCTAGTGGCTGACTCCAGGGGAATGGCCAAATCTATCTTGTCTTTAAGTGTCTCTTCCTTGACCCTCCTTCTAAATCTTTGCTCATCAGGGAGGGAGAGAAGTAGGAAATGAACTGTATTTCCAGCAACACACCATTCTATAAGCCATACAGATCTCGGTGGCAGGTTGTTTGAAGGCTCCAGTTGTTGTTGAAAGAAGGTAACGACCTTTGAAGGCTATAGCACTGGACACTTGGCTCATCTGCTGGTAAGCTTCCATTCTAACAACAGAAAAGCTCCCAGCAGCAGCCTAGACAGCATGCAGAGCTACCCGTCCTTGGATCCTGCCTTGGTGTCCACACACGTGCTCCACACATCGCACCTTACAGCAGTCGTTGTCACCAAATTAGTTCTGCCTTATACCAAATATGATCACTAAAGGGTAATTGTGTGCACTTCTGGTGTTCTCAACATAAGAAGGACATGGAGCTATTGGAGCAGGTCCAGAGGAGACAATGAAGATGATCAGGGGCTAGATCACCTCCCATATGGATACAGGCTGAGAAAGTTGGGGCTGTTCAGCCTGGAGAAGAGAAGCTGTGTGGAGATCCTAGAGCAGCTTCCAGTATCTGAAGGGAGCCTACAAGGATGCCATAGAGGGACTCTTCATCAGGGACTGCCCGAGCTGCAGCTTCATTGCTGATATTTGTGACATTCATTTTCCAGCCTCACCATGCTAAAGAACCATCCTCAGCCTGCCATGAGCACCCTGTCCCAAGGAGCCCTCAGGCTGCTGCCTGGAGGGATGCAAGGACTGAGTGAGTTACTTTGCTTCTTGCCAAGAATTCCCAGGTATAACCCCAGATGAAGGGAGACCAAACACACCAGCTATGTGCTGCTCCTCACAAATTGCTTAGTGCACTGTGAGTGTGATGTTCCATCACCACTGTCCTTATAGCAGGACAGACCCTGGAGCCCACAAGGCTATTTCAGGCTCTGCTGAGGAGCTGCTTAGATGCCATCCTACAACAGTCCTTTTCTTAGATGTGTTTTCACTGCTCAGGTTGTTTCTGCATCATCAGGGAAGGGAATAGGATGGAGAGCACTGATGAACATTAGGGAATTGCTGTCTCTGCAGCAAGGGAGGTGTGAGGAGGGCAGCCTGGTGATCATGTTGATGTGCACCATATACCATCTGAGCCACTTCTTGATGGAGACTAAAGAACTGAAAATTGCACAGTCCTTCCCCTGGTGTCCCTTAGTAATTAGCATATATGGATTATAACCATGAGGACTGAGGCTTTTAGTGCTCTTTCTCCTGGATAAATGGTTGAGCACAAGACAGTCTATTGCATAAAGTGATTTAGCCCATGAATGATGGTTCATTAGCAGCCCACAGACTGTCACTGCCTATAGTAGGGGATGTGTGGGCTCTTCCTGTATTCTAGTTAACTCTTTCTCCTTCAGTCAGCCAGCAAAGATTCAGTTTGCAGAGCATGGAGTTAAATGTGGCTGTGCCATAGTACTACAATGGTCTTCCCCCTTCAGAGCCTCAAATAATGCAACAACATCCCAAAGAGACTGCCATCTTTTAACAAAGTGTCAAATGATGGATGGGGAATAAAAGAAGCTATTATCAGTCAGGAGATGAGTCAGATATGAATATAACACCTTTTTTCCTAGACAATATTATTACACTGAGGAAATGAAAAAGACTCATTTTCTTTTGCAAAAGAAGAGGCCTTGAGTGTTAGAAATGCACACTGCAGAGCCTGCTGCTGTGTGAGGGAGCAGCTCCAGTAAGTGAGCAAACCCCATCCCACCTTTGCTGTGCCATGGTTTGGAGCCTGGGTGCTGGGCAGACATCCCTGCACTTTCCAGGAAGGGAAGACTTGGGCTCTGTCTGGAAAGCGAGATCATAATGCAAGGTAATTTGGTGCTTGTGATGGAAAAATCAGCTCTTGGATTTAAGCTGCATCCACTCTTAGGCAAGGCAAGGGCAATAAACACCTCAAGGGAAATAAAGCTATTGATTCTACTGACTTTCACTGGTATTGTTCTACAACTGCTCCAGAAATGGGCTGGGATTCTGTGTTTTCAACAAGACCCACAGGGACTGTCCCTGAAGCTCTTCTGCTGTTCCTCTCAGACACTTCATCTGTCTCTGTGGCTCTCTGTGCATCTGTTTGACCATGTTGCTTTTTTGCCCTGTAGCCAGATGAGTTGACCAACGCCTTGGAGATCAGTAACATAGTCTTCACAAGCATGTTTGCCCTGGAGATGCTCCTGAAACTCCTTGCCTTTGGCCTCTTTGGCTACATCAAGAACCCATACAACATCTTTGATGGGATCATAGTTGTCATCAGGTCAGTGCCAGTTCTTCCTTCACTGTGGCTTGTCTCCGAAGGGCTCATACCAGCTGGGGAGTGGGATGGGGAACAGGAATGACGTGGCATGTGCTAATCCAAGGCTCACTGGCTATGATATGCTATAATTATCGTGGCCTTTCAGATTTCTGTCATTAGAAGGCCTGTCCAAAGTAAATGGACCTGGCAAATGGAGAACAAAGTCTATTTATGCCACACATCTGGCACTGTGGTCAGTTTTCCACTGAAGTGCAGAATGGCTGGTCCTGGGAAAGGAGTACTGTGAGTGTCCCTATCCCAGCAGCTTGCCTTCCCTCTCCCAAATTAACACATAACTCAGGTCAGAACCCCCAGGAGGGTAGGAGGGCACTGTTCTGTTGTTCTCTCCAGGGGAACACTACCAGCGTAAACTGGGGATGTCAAATGTGGGTGAGAAGCTTGTACAGCATCTCTTTGTGCTGGGGATATTTCTGGGGGTGCTGTTCACCTCTTGATCAGTAATTTGGGGCTGAGAAGTCAAGGGAGACACAGAAGGTATAAACCAGGATAGCTTCAGTTTGTCCATCCCTTTGATTCAGGGAAGAGAAAGCGATAGAGGCTCAGAGCAAAAGTCAGTCTGTGGCTTGATCAAACCAACGCACCCCAACAAATGTAAAACCCTCTGGAGATGAGCTTGGTACAAAACTGTGATCCACATTTTGTGACAGATTGTAGTGATGCAGACCAGCAGAGACATGCTGTGCTGTGAAGAGTCACAGAAAGCAAGGGAATTAAAGACTCAAGAAACTAGCTATAAAGGATGGAGGTTATGCATGTGCGTGTAGATCTGCACAAGTGGGAAGGGAAGGTGTTTTTCAGAAGCAAGAAAGAAGGTGGCAGACAAACTGCCCCTTTAGGGCCTCTGGTGGTGTGATATCCTGTAAGAAACCAGCCTGCCCAAAGCTTTCACAGTAGGGAACTGCTGCTTCTAGCTCTTGTCCTTGTGGTGTTCCTGCAGTGTGTGGGAGATCATCGGTCAGTCGGATGGAGGCCTCTCTGTGCTACGAACCTTTCGGCTGCTCCGCGTGCTGAAACTGGTGCGCTTCATGCCCGCCCTCCGTCGCCAGCTCGTGGTCCTGATGAAGACAATGGACAATGTGGCCACCTTCTGCATGTTGCTCATGCTCTTCATCTTCATCTTCAGGTACAAGAGGCTGCAGCTGCTCTTCAGTTACTTGTTCAGCTTGCTTAAGTAATACATAGATCAGAGTAACAATACACTGCATTTGCTAGGCTGCCTACGTGATGGAAGTGCTCACAATAGACTGACAAGCAGACACTCAACAGACTTTTCAGTCTCAGTTTTGCATGCAGTACTGTAATTCCACAGATGAATGAAGCCCACATCCAGGCAACATTTCCTCTGGAATTCCTGGGAGGCTCGTTTAGCTGTGTCTCAGGAAGCTGTCAGTAACTGCACTCCAGCACTGTTATATTTGAGATGGATGTTGTACAGACTCCAAGATTTCTGTCTGTTTGACCCTATAATGCCCCTCGGTATCCTCTTCTTGGAAACCAGTTGGATTAGGAAGCTGGCAGTGTGAGCTGTCATTTTCTAGACAAAGGAGATCCCTGATTTAACTTCCGTGTAGATAATTGAAATGTGACACAGAAGAACCAACTGGTAGGGTTTCATCAGAGTTTCTTCCTGGGACATACCACCAGCATACAAAACACCAGGAGCAGAAAAGTGTCCAAAAAAATCACTGCAATCCTCCCTGCCACCGTATTTCACACAATAACATGTTTCTTCTGTCTTTTCTCCCACTCTAGCATCCTTGGCATGCATCTTTTTGGATGCAAGTTCAGCCTGAAAACTGATACAGGAGACACAGTTCCAGATCGAAAGAATTTTGATTCCTTACTGTGGGCCATTGTGACCGTATTTCAGGTAAGCTCTGGATCCTCTGGGAAGTTTTCATGTGACCACCTGGACAGTTAGTTTCCTTTTTTAAGGAAAACTATTCCAGTTCCTGTCAAATTTGGACTGAAATGGCACTGTGGAGTTAATAGAGCAAGGTGATTGTGTTTCTAAGTTAGCTGGTCTCTATAAACCCTGATAGAGAAGCAAAATCAATAGTGTGCATATCTGTTGCCAGTAAAAGTCTAAGAAGGCCTGAAAATCCACCCTTCTTGTCCTTTCATAAAGCCAGTAAGATCAGACCCACAGTCTAGTGTCCTGTACTGTAGATCTCTTGTCTCTTTACTTGACTTCGTCCCCTAAAAATGCACTTTACAAACAACTTCATCTAACTGGGAGTGACAGATACTGTCACAACTCAGAGCTGGAGGTGCTGGCTCTATATGCTGGAAGCTTCTTTATATAAAAAAGTTGTGTTTCCTCTGCAAACAAAATCTGTTCTGTGCTTGAAATTACTGGCATATTCCACACTGGAGCAATAAGCTACTATTTCCAAGACATTCTAAATATAAAGATTAGTCTTTTCTTTTCAAAGGCTCAGGCTACAGAGTCCAAGTGCAGCAAGTGGAGCACAATGGAACAGTGTTAAGCTAAGTTTCTGAACATAGAGTAGGTGGTCATCACAATATCACTCAAGGTAGAAACCAGTCCTGAGTCTCCACTGTGAAGAATAAAACTTCTGACAAAGTTTTCCTTCTTACAAAGGAGCAAGACAAAAATCAGAATTAGTCCCACAGCTCCACATCTTTCTTTTACCAACATCAATACAGATTTCTGCATATACTCTAACAGTCCCTTAGTAAATAGAGCTGGCTCTGAGCACAAGGGCTCAGTCCTGCATCCCATGAAGGTTAGTGAGTGGCATGACTCAGTTCTAACCCCAGAGCTACCTGTTTTTGAGGAGGGTTAGAGACCATTTCATTGTAAGCATGAATTGATGTGGAGCATGAATTTGTCATCCATTTCTCTCAGGTCCCAGGATTTTGGGGCTTCAGAAAAGTGGGAATCCCTGAGGAAGGTCCCTTGGAGCAAGGCTTTGTAAAGATGTGCATTTTTTTGCCCAGCTTGTCAGTGCTTTTATCTAATGGAAATCACTTTGCATCCCTGATTTTCTTGAGCCACCCAGTGTCATTTATCTCATCAAATACCCTTTGTATTTGTCCTTTACCCTTTCCTTCAGCTCCAGATGCCTTATAAAGAGCAGCCCAAAAGGAGACAACAGCTCTGGCCTCAGGTCTTTTATCTTCTGATGGTTATCAAAGGAGACAATACCACCACCAAATTACTGGACTTGTACCAGCACATCTTTCATGCTGCCCTACCTAGGATCTGAACTAGTCATGTCTGTGGGCAGCAGTATGCTAGATCTTCCTGCAGAGAGGGGAATTTTGGCCAGAAGACAGCTCTCACATGCAAAGATCTAAATAAAGGAATGTTTTACTGTCTCTCTTCATGAGACCTATTAATGCTTATGCTTAGAAAATGTTAAAAGGAGAGGAAAAAATGGATAAGTCAGTATCTGAATGCATCTGCTGTGTATGAGAAGAGTGAAGTAATTAAAGTCTTTCCTTTCACCCCTTTGCAGATCCTGACTCAAGAGGACTGGAATGTGGTCCTGTACAATGGGATGGCATCTACATCCTCATGGGCAGCCCTCTACTTTGTGGCCCTGATGACCTTTGGCAATTATGTGCTCTTCAACCTTCTTGTTGCCATCCTGGTAGAAGGCTTCCAGGCAGAGGTAAGAGATCTGAGCAGAGGGAGGGAGAACACCGAGACACATGTAGGTGAGCGTGTAGGGATGAATGCATGTCAGCACAAATGTCTAGCCATCAAGCAGCCCTGAATGTAAATTTAAGGAATGTAGATGAGCTGTGTGGGCATGTGAAGCTCTTGTGAATCTCTCTTTGCAAATGAGACCCACTGGACTTAGCATGGGACTTGGGAGACCAACACTTTGGTTGATCTGCTGCAGGACCTGTTGTGTGGCCTAGAGGAAATGCTTTAGGATTGGTTTGACTTACCAAGTCTTCCATCTGTTCTGTGTTTTGTGTCTTCATTATGGTGGGCTTCAGGCCTTCAATGTAGCCAGTGTTAGTCATGGGGACCAAAGTATGATGTTCTCAGACCGGGCCTTTCCTTGTGACTCTGTCCCTTCTGTGTTATTTGAGGCCAGTAGCCCACCTGTTCAAAAGCTGTGTTGCAAGGCTACAAACATTAAAGTCTGAGATACTTTGAATGATGAAGGACATGGAAATGCTAAAAAGATTTTTACCTGTACCTGAAAATAATGTCAGTATCAGGTCAGTGAGCAGGAAATATAGGATAAACTGTAGCATCTCATCTCACATGGAAAGAATTATAGAAATCATGTGCCATGTCCTGATGTGAACTAGGCACGAACATCAGCAGCTATGCAGGCAATCCTGTGCCACATGATCCAGAGGAGCAGCTCCCACTGGTATGAGTGGTGTAAGTGCTATAGTATGAGTGAGGGGCCCTGTAGCCTCCTAAGCTTTCCACCCCACTGACAAGTCCCTTCCAGATTTGCTTTAAGCATCCTGAGAGAGTGAAACCAGGCATTCCCTGCCCTGCTCTTCTTCATCTTCCTTTCAGATCACAGCAAGTCCATTTGGGAGAGATTTAAACTGAGGATGATCTGGTTTGGTTATAAATGTAACAATGTATGGGCATATATACATTATCCAGAAACTGGAGATGATTTTGAGACTTAGCAAAACTCAGCCAGTCCCTGTTAAAGCAGAGAATAGTGGCATCAAAGGGGCTTACATCATGCTTTGGGGTTTTATTAATTATTACTTCTTTATTTCCTCAACCATCAAGAAGAGCAAGTTTGCTCAGTGCCAGATTGGCTTCAGAGACACAGACTCAGAAAGGAAATGAGAAAATGGCTTCAGTTTTCACTGCTTTGCCTCCCAAGGGAAAGAGGAGAAAGACATAATCTTTATAGGACATTTTATTTCCACCTGTCATTTTTCCCCCAGAATTGGTGTCGCGCTCTCATCTGCAGGGTTTAGATCCCATTTAAACCAACCTCATCACATTGAGACCAAATTTCACTGACCATGGAATAGAATTGAAATATTCATAGACCAAAAATTCCTTCAAGCCAACACAGTCACATTTATGTCTTTCAAGGATGTATGTAGATTCCTTATTAAAACACCCCTCCAGGTTCCTCACAGCACTAACAGAGGAAAACTAATTGAAACGAAAGGAGCCAAGCCACAGTATGGAAACAGCAACCCTGCTCTATGTCACTCACAGCGGTTTCATGGATGCTGAGGGTGGTGAGTGCCACGTGAACACACAGAGAGGACACAAGTAGAAGACACAAAGCTCATTGCTTTCAAAATAAACAGCTCTGCACTGCATTAGTGGGCATTTTAATGTCTTGTACAATGCGTTCCATGCCCTGAAGATCCAACACAGCTTGCCAGCAAGACAAGCAGGTCTTTTTCCAAGAACAAGCCTGTATTCCACGTGTGGGTGACTAGAGCTTGTGCTGACACTGCTTGTTTCCAAATTGCTGTCATTTTCTCAGTGTCACTGATCTCATATCTCCCAGCTTTACTCCGGATACTATAACACCTTTACATCTGGTTCTAGTGCAGCCTGTGGCAGATGGAGGTGGACATTTTAGCTGCCAACCGAATAAGACCAAAGCAAAGGAATTGCCACTATTTGTACAGGCTCTGCAGTAGTTGCCATCTTCCAACCTAGAAAGGATTTTCCTCTGGGAGCATTGTAGCTGTATTTAGAGCGGTTGTGCTCAGACTCAGTCCTGCTAGAAAACGACACAGGCTGCAGCAGACTAAAGATGTGCTAAAGTAATAGATTTTCCTAAATTGGATGCAGAAAGAACCAATACATATGCTTAACATACCATAAGCCATATGGTAGCTCAGAGTATTCAGTGGCCAGATATGTCAGATGCCCTCATATTCCACCAACCAGCAAATATGGGGGTAAAAAGAGGACAAGCCAGGGATATCCAAACAGACAATAACCAGTCTGTGTGTGACCCAACAGACTGGAAACTGTCAGCTTGAGCTCCTGCTCGAGCAATCCTACATTTAGGCACAGAGAGCCCTCATCCAGCAGTCTGCATCCTTTCCTGATTGCTTTAAGGCAGAAGAAAGAAAGTTCACTCCCCTCTGCAACCTGACAGCTTGCAGGTCTCTGTACAGTAGAGATCCCATTCCTTACTTGCCCTCTTGGAGGTTGGATCACCTGCTAATGTGAAGGCAGAAATGAGCAGCCTCATGCAATACCCTCTGAGTGTATGATTACAGACCTCGCTCAATAGCTGTCGTTTTCTTGCTGAAGCTTAATAGCTCCTTTTGGAGCTGTTACAGCCCATGATTTAAACGTGTGTAAGCAGTAGTTTTCAAAGCTTGTATTATTCACTCACTGCTGCCTCTGAAAAGGCCAGCAACCACAGGCATGACATTTGCAGGGCACATTTTGCTCTCCACTTCCATTTTTTATAAGTCTTGACACGAAGCTTATAGGCCTTGTCAGTTGTCTCATAGTGAGGTATTAGCTGTGCTACAGAAAACCCTTCTCAGGGCTGTATTTCAGCTACCGAGGTTCAGTTCAAGTGTTGCACTTATAAATGTATAACTTAGCTTGGTTGTAAACCAAAGATGTTTACAGTCTCCTTGGACAACTCCCAGGAAGAAGTATCAATGGAGCTGGGTTTTCTTTTGCCTGGTTCTGTTGGGATGTTGGGAATATGGCAGAAACTCTTGTTTTGATCCTTTTGACTCCATCTTCTTACAGGCTGATGCTCTTAGAAGTTCTAGAAGACACTGAGATGGCACTTCTTCTCCCTTTGCTTAGGTGTTTCTTTTACTCAGATGGAGAGTGACTCCTGAGAGGCTTTTGCAGCTAAGAGGGTTCACATTAGAGCTGCTCCAAGCTCTAAACCATTAACAGCATCTCAAAAAGGACACTACAAATTGGACTGTGAACCACAGTAGACAGTCTCAGCTTGATCTCAGGTTCTGATCTGCCTGTGGAGCAAGTTTGGCAGGAGGATCCCTAGAAGAGAATAGGCTTAAATGACCGCAAAACCATTTCTAGTACATTTGTGCTTATAACAACAAGCAGGCAGACTTCAAACAGGACCGTAATTGCATATTTGTGCTTACATTGTTCCCATGTCATTTGAAATCTATGCCAGAGCATAGAAAAGCAGAGAAACCTTCCAAAACTGTGCAGATCTTTCAACTACTCTGCACTAGTGCTTCTGTTCCAAACCAGAGAAGATGACTAAGGGAGCTTTAGCCTTCCAGTCACCCTGGCTGGCTGCACCAGTTAGCAATGCATCAGAGCTGAAACGAAGTTCACTGCCACTTCAGCACCATGTCTCTAGGAGCCCTGGTGATTTGTTCAAGCATCAGTTGAGGAGCTGTGCTCCTTTTTTGGGGATCAGCTGCTTTAATCCAACCATTTGCTCTCAATTTGCACAGCTTTCCTGCAGTCTCAATGGATCAAGCCAGAGTCATGCTGACAGCCTGCTGGAACCTCTCCTCTCTGCAGATCTCCAGCAGAGGAGAACCTGACCATAGCTCTTCTGTCCCAGGCTTTTACATTATTTAGGCTGATCATTTGTAGTAGCGGAGGTAGATGTGGAAGGGAAAAATAACTGGACTTCCAGGAGAAAAGCCAGTCTGAGGGTGCTTGGCTGCTCTCTGTCCTGAGATGATGCTGTACTGCCAGGCAAGCTGGCCTCATTCCCTTCTGCCTTAGCTTCAGTGTTGCCAAGAGATTTCCCAATACAATCTCCATTGCCAGCCAGCATGAAGAAACCAAATCAGGGCTGGGTTTTCAGCTCTAAGTCAACTTTACAGTGCTGTCAAATAAAGAAGGAAAACCCTTCACCATCCTTTGACATTAAAACCTAAGTGCTCTCAGCTGAGATCATGGAGAGTACAAGTATGGAACCTCACAATGCCAGTTTTTCTTAGCTGCACTTTCATGTTCTCCCCTGGGATACACTGCACAATGTAGGAAATACAACATTGCAAGAACAGGAGTTACAATCACAATATCATCCTTTCTGTCCAAGTATGAAAATGAATCAAAACAAGAAGGGACTTACCTGGGATCATTCCCTAGGGAGTGTCAGAGGGAATTTGGCATTCTGCCCTCCTGGTTCTTGGGGCCACACTTTAAATGACCATGGGGAGCTGAGGTATCTCTGAGCTGCCAAGTGACCCAAATGGCCTTTGTGCTGAAGCTTATATGAATCCAGTCTGTTAATTATCCTTCTCCTCTCTGCAGGGTGATGCCAATAGGTCAGACACAGATGAGGACAAGACATCTGCCAACTTTGATGACGATTTTGAGAAGCTAAAAGACCTCCGAGCAACAGGTAGGCTTTTGTCTCTGTGTTTTTCTGGGAATCTGAGAGCTACAACTCTGCTTCAACAGTCATCAACGGGAAAAAGTGGAAGAATTCATTTTACTTGGCAGGAGGTCTAATAGCTGTGTTAAGAGAGAAGCTTTTAACATGCAAAAAGTGTAGGGAAGCTAAATGAGCAGGGAGATTTCCTTTAAACAGCTGTTTTCCTAATTTAAATTACACTGGAATATTTAGTTATGTCTCCTCATTTCTTCTGTATCATCCCCACAGAATGCTTTGCTGACAGCAGTAGTCACACACTACTTCTCAGCAGCTTTTCTAATCAATCATGTTCTCATCTGTTGTTTTTAGTTTCTCATACAAATGCATTTAGGTGAGGTTTGATTGATGGGAATGTTGCTGTTCATTTGTGTTGCAGGAGGGCCTGGCAATTGATATGAGGTAAGGCCAATTGTACTATAAACATGCAATGGTAGGTGACAGCCTTCCCTCTGTAGAGTTTGCAACCAGATAGGGGACAGTAAGGGAACACAAACTGAATGGTATTGACGGTGAACAGGAGCCAGTTTAGCTCCTCTGTACTTTGATTCTCAGTTTGGGCTCTTGTTAGGGTTACTTTAAGTGCTTCTAAACCAGGATTCATTTCAGCTAAGGAAATTACATTGATTGTGGTGAACAGATGGAATTCAGCTGAGGAAGGGGCAGAAGTAATTTGCTGGGGAAGCTGAGACAGAGCTGGATCACAGCAAAGTGATGGAGCTGCTTAGCCTGCAGATGAAGCAACAAATTCCAAGCACAAGTGACCAAATGAATGTCCATTGCAAACAGCTGGCAAGGAACCCACAGCACCAGCTATGTGCCAGCTTTGCACCAACTACTTGCTGAACAGCTTCAAGTAAGAAGAGAGTTCTAGGGGAAAGAAATATTGTCACCTCTTCTCAGGTAATACAGGGATAGGAGACAGGGCTGAACTTGCCATCAACCAAAATTCCATGAGTAATTGGGTGTCTCCATAAGCCTCACAAGTGCCAACCAGTGACTAAACAGCATGAAGACATTAACAATTGTATCATAATGCTGTTGGTCTGTAAATAGATACTCTGGCAAGAGGAACATGTATTGCAGATAAGCACATTTTGAGCTAGATCTTCCAGCCCTCAAAGTGGATGGCAGTGTTCCCACAGACTTCTGTAGTGCAGATCAGGTATTTGTGCCCAAGCCAGCAACAAAACAGATGATACAATAGAAGCACAGTGCGTTACAAAAGCAGCCAGTGGAAGAAAAAGAGCAGGGGTAATGCACTCACTTGGATTTCTCACTGTCGATTTGTACTTCCCTCCTGTTGGGCATGGATGCTCCCTTCCTTCCCCCTCCTTAAGACTGATCCTGAAGTTATTAAACCACCACCCACTAAATCCAGTAAAACAGGAGCTAGCTCAGCTTTAGTTTTGTGTTTGAGGTTAGGCTTTTGGTTTTGAGTATTATGGCACTGGAGGTGTTACGTCTGGTTTGTCTTCAGTGTGAATACCATTTTTGCAGCCTGTAGTTGCTATACAGCTAAAATAGATGCTTTCTGCAATTACCACAAGATGTGCCATTAGATTTCGCTGTTACAGGAGGTTTACTCTTCTAGACAAATGGATGTGTAAAAGCAACTTCCATTTCCTGTCCCCTGAACAGATGACTAAAGACAATGACTAATGGTCACTTAGTGCCTTTCCCATGAAGGAACTCGGAGCACATCAGAACTGCATAAAAATCTCTTTGCAAGGCTGTATGACAAGGAGAAGAGATTAACTTCCCAGGGTGAATTTAGCCAGTCTTCAATATCTTTTCCCTGGAAGCTCTCTCCCAGTCCCCCCAGACTGTAACTCCACTCTCTAAATCCCAAGAAACAGTGAGCAAAAGCAGCTTCCTTTGAAGGGCACGATGGGTTCCAAGTCCAGCCAGGGCTGAAGGCCTCTTAAAAGGTTATGACATTTACCTTATGCCTTTCAGCATGGCGAAAGTGATCATATTGCCCACAACATTCCATCTCCATTTGGCAGGGTTCCCAGGAGACCCAAGGAACAATGTCCATTTTGAAGAGTGATTTCTGCAGCTGAGCATTCACCTCTTCTTCTCTCTCCCCTTCTCTCCAGAGATGAAGATGTACTCGCTTGCTGTCACCCCAAATGGACACCTGGAGGGCAGGGGAAGCATGCCCCCTCCTATCATCATGCGCACTGCTGCCACACCAATGCCCACACCAAAGTGTTCCCCACACATTGATTCAGTGCACACTTTTGTGGACTCAAGAAGAGGGAGTAACGCTTCCCTAGAGCCCTTGAGCTACGACCAGAAGTCCTTGGTAGGTTCCTGTTGCTAACAGCTCTCTCTCAAGTGCCTGCAAGCAGCACAGATGACGTGCACACACATGTTGCTGGAAAATGAAAAGGATGGTGATAGAGGTGAGAAGGACGTTTAAAGGCAGGAGGAAAGCAGATACAAGAGGGCAAAATGAATGGGTGTGATGCGCTGGGGCAGGATAGTGACAGCATAACTGTCAAGCACAGTGAATATATGAAAATAGGAGATGGGTATTGTACTGAGATTCGTTGTTTTCCTGCCTAGTATCTAATTGGAAGTCCATGCCAAGCCACCTGAGAGAGAGACAGCCTGAGACAAGCCTTAAGTTTATACAGTTATTCCAGCAAACCCCTCTGAGGAGGAGCAGGCATCTTTTGCCTGCTGGCCATTTTGTGGTGTCTTGGAGAAGCTGTCAGGTGTTCCTGTGAGGATGAGGCCTGTTTCCCCTCACAGTATTTCAGGGTTGCATCTTGAACTCATCTTGTGTCAAGGGAAATGAAGCATTTGTCCTTACCAACACAGCAGCTGAGCTCCAGTTACAGTACAATAGCCCCATTGGAGGGGAACCAGGTATGAGCTGACCGACTGCTGCCAGGCACAGCTCATGGAGCAGAGATCTGGCTGGAGCTGACTGCTTTGGCAATGGGTTGCATTTTGCCTGCATCAGGGGAGCAGCTCTATGAAAACTGAGGGAGAAGAGTTAATAGACAAAGTGGATTTTTGCTGCTGCTTATCTATCCCATTCCTCTGCTCTGTAACTGCAATATCATGTTCAAATCAAGGCAGCGGACTGTGAAAGCACTTCACACAGAGACAGAGCCACTATCCCCTTTGGTAAGCTGCTTAGTCAAGGTAATGCTTTTGAAAAGAAAATAGAGATGACTGTTGTTTGCCTTGGGGTTTCATGGGATTGCGAGTTGCCGGAGAGAGTTGTTCATCATTCGAATCCTTTCTCTGAGAGCACATCAGTGCCACCAGCCAAAGGATGATGAAGCAGTCAGAGGAGAGCTGGCCAACACTGAGCAGGAGGAGGAAGGCAGTTTGCCTCGTTTTATGCTGGGAGGAAGCCGTGGAGGGAAAAAGAGCTTTCCTTCTAGCTTTTCTGCTCTGACCTGAAGTGCTCTCATCTTGGCAACTACCTGTCAGCCAAAGTGCCCTGACACACTGATCAGTGCCAAAAATTGGTTGTAAGGGAAACATTTTTCCACCTCCTATGCAGCAATTGAAGAGAAAGTAATGCAAATAGGGGCACAATTTCTTACAGACATTTGGGTGCCAGGTACCAGAGCCCCTTTGGAAGCCAGGGAAGCTGTGGGCTGAAACCACTTGAACGTGAGGAAAGAAAATGCCACTTTAGCAATAGTGCCTCTGGGTTCAGTTTTTACGTGCAGTTCGTGTTGCCAGGACAATAGGAGGTCACACAGCACAGCGGGTTGGAGCTGTGCTACAGGTATAGCTCAGAGCACCTTCAGTGTGGGCTTAGCTGGGTACTTGGCTCCCATCTCAAGGCATGATGAAATCATAGAATCGTAGAATCATAGAATAGTTAGGGTTGGAAAGGACCTTAAGATCATCAGGTTCCAACCCCCCTGCCATGGGCAAGGACACCTCACACTAAACCATATCACCCAAGGCCTCATCCAAGCTGGTCTTGACCATTGCCAGGGATTGAGCATTCAGGGGAAGGCATGACTTGCAGCAAGAAGGGTCTTCAAAATGCCATATGCTTTGGCTTTGTCCTGCAAACAAACCCTCAAATGTCTTTCTTCTCTCTCAGTCCAGCCTCCGCAGCTCCCCTTGCGCCAACTGGGGCACCAGCAGCAACTGGGGAAGCCGACGCTCAAGCTGGAATAGCCTGGGCAGAGCCCCAAGCCTCAAGAAGAAAAGCCAGTCAGGAGAAAGAGAGTCCTTGCTCTCTGGGGAGGGGAAAGGCAGCACAGATGATGACTCTGATGATGCCAAGTCCAGCACAGTGAGCAGAGCCTCGCTGCACCGCCGGGCAGAGTCCCTGGACTACCGCAGCTCCCTGGACTTGCCGGAGCTGCTCCAGTTGCCCACCATGCGCCACTCGCTCAGCATCAGCCCCGTGGCTGTTCTGCCTGCTGAGTACCAAGACTGCAATGGCAAAATGGTTCATGTCCCCAGTGAGTTCTTCCTGCGTGTGGATGGTCACAAGGAGGATGCTATGGACTATGAGGATGACATGGAAGATGTGAGTTGAGGGGGAAATTGGGTGTTCATGTGTTAAGTTGCATTTCCACTCCAGGAAGGATTGAAAATCCAGCTTGGAAATGTGTTACTGCCTAAAGGTTGGTGCAGACAGCGTGAGTCCAGATCCAGGTGGTGGACCTCCACTTCTCAAAGGGTTTTTTTAACTAAGTTAGTGGGATGGGCTGTTCAGTAGTAGTGGTCTCTTACAAGGTAAAACTGCAAGGTAATGTGCATACATTTGCCTAGTTTTTGGACTGATTGAGATTATCCCATTGGTGTGAGATGCCTCCAAAAATGACCTGTAGGGACGACAGCTAGCTAATGTCTTTGCTCACAAGAGTTGTTTGGCATCCCAAAAGCTTGAAGGTTTTGTAGTTAACTTCTTGCTTGCTTGAGCCCTTTTTGGTTTTGACAGAACTTCGGATCTCAAAATGATTCCTGCCTAGAAGTCCTCCTTTGTCATGTTCGTATCTCACTGTACAGCAGCCCCTTTCTTTCACCCCTTTCCTTTCTCTTTTGTTGGACAAATGTGACGACACCTGCCACAGCTGTCCTAAAAGCCATGACTTCTTACAGGCACCATGAAATGCCATGCACTGCCCTCTGTCACAAAAGCACTGTGAAAGTTAAGGAGGCAGGAAAATAAAAGAGGAAGAAAAGGTGTTTCTTCTTTTCTTTCCAGAGTTACTGCTACCGGATTCGTAAAGCCCTGGAGCCCTACAAACCACAGTGGTGCAAGACTCATGAAGACTGGTCCCTCTATGTGTTTTCCCCACAGAATCGGTAAGAAATTCAGTGAAACACCAGCCCACCAGGTTTTTGGGGTAATGGAATATTACATTTCTAGCCAGCCTTCCCTTGAGAAATTCCCAATCTGATGCAGAAGCACTGAGAGTTTTAGAAATCCAATTCCTGCTTTTTAGGTAACTTTTTTCTGTTACATGTCTGCAGAACTGTTGCATGGTTCACTCCATGGTTGTCTAAAAAGAAGGGTGGTTTAACCAGCATTAATAATAGCTGTTATTACATCTAGTTTACTGCACTGATAATAGTGTCTGTAACTTGTGGAGTGCTCACTACCTGGACTGATGCTGGTGGCACAGCTGCTGAAGCCTTTTGAGGATGTGCCATTCAGGTGGGAGTCTCTTGCTCACCCAAATATCTGAAGCATATTTTGCTCCCCCCCGCCATGTCTGCAGGTTCCGAGTGATGTGCCAGAAGGTCATTGCCCATAAAATGTTTGATCATGTGGTGCTGGTCTTCATATTTCTCAACTGCATCACTATAGCACTGGAGCGACCAGACATAGACCCACACAGCACAGTGAGTACCAAAGTCATTTTCCTCCTTCATCCAGCATCCTTGTGTAGGCAAGACCCTGCAACGTGGAAGATGTTTGTTGTTTTCTGACCTCTTTAAATAACTTGCCTCTTTTTGTTGCTCTGTGTTTTACAGGAGAGGATGTTCCTAAGTGTTTCTAATTACATCTTCACTGCAATCTTTGTGGCTGAAATGATGGTTAAGGTAATTGCATCTTCATAGCCAGGCCTGGCAAAGACCAGAACATGACATAGTTGTGATCTGGGTGAAGATTTAAATGTCTCTCTTCTCCTGGCTGTAGGTGGTAGCTCTTGGCTTTTTCTCTGGGGAAAACACCTATCTGCAGAGCAGCTGGAATGTCCTGGATGGAGTCCTGGTCTTTGTATCTATCATTGACATTATTGTCTCCATGGCATCAGCAGGCGGAGCAAAGATCCTGGGTGTCCTTCGTGTTTTGAGGCTTCTGAGGACCTTGAGACCTCTCAGGTACATTCACTGGGAGAGTACTGAGTTGCTTTGTGTTGAGAGACCAAAGAGTTTATAAAAATGTACATGATCTGTCAAGGTCTTGCTTAATAGCACAAAAAGCTGAGCACAGTTATGGGCAGAAGCATCTTTGGTGAGCTCTGAACTAGTGAAACTGTTTGGAAACAGAGAACTGAATCATAATGCATCTCCTCCAGCATGGGAAAGAGCGAATGGAGTTTGGAGTCAGACATGTTATCATACTCAGGCAGTTAGTGCTGTGAATGCCTCCTCCATGCTGCGTTTTTATCACCATTTTACAAATCAGTCTGGCTCCTTGTTATTCAAGTCGTTCCCAAGCAAAGAGGTCACGTTGGCTGGGAGAGAATTTACAACTGAACAGGTACTGGCAATAATTTGATAAGCTCCAGCATCTCTACCTGGTCTCCCATTACTGCAGAACAATTTAGCTCTCAGCAAGCTGGAGGAAGGGGAGATGCTTTCAGTAGGTGAGAAAAGGAATAAAGAGAATTGGTATTTTGTTTACTATTATGCAGTAACAAAGAGGATTAATGCTTGGTGGATTTTTATGAGCTCGTGGCTCCTGTTCTGTTTCTGTCCTGCTTGGCAAGGAATACAAGTCTTTTTTGTTAAATTCTAGGAGAAATAAGATAGGTACCTCCAGAGACAGGCTTGCTTATGAGACGAATAGGAAAAACCGATCTTGTTTGGGCCTATGACTACAAGAACAACACCTATTTATCTGCTGCTCCGTGTTTCCTTAGTGACAAGTGACTTTGTGTTTGTCTCCTCTCTTGCTCCCATGCTCTGTTCTTATGGTGGCATCAGAGTCCCCTTGCAGTGCTGGCTCACCAGGAGCTACCCTAGGCAAGCCTTGGCCTGGCAGTACCTCAAGGCACCTAACACACATAACCAGGAACAGAAATGAGGCCATGGGCAATAAGTAGGCCTAAGGGGAAAAAAAGGGAATTGGTCTTTGAGGATAAGTAGGCCAGATTCTATTAATAGAGAGGAATTCATCACTTCTCATGATGGCTTCACTTAACACAGCCTCTTCTAGGGTTACTCCAGGGACCATTCCTAACACTTTGTAGGTGCAGTTCAGACTGCCACATTATTTGCTGCCAAACAAGACCCTATTGAAAAGCTTTGTCCCTGCAGCATACAGCTCTCCTCTTTCCTCTGTGTTTGGCAGGCATGAAGCATCATTAGACGTGCAAGCTCAGGCTACCTGCAAGAACTTATACCCTCTACAGGCCTCTCCTAAACCCAGCTTTGATGTTCATCAGTCAAAACACCCCTTTCCCAGAACTTGCTTGGGCTGGTTGCACTTATGTGTGTGCAAACACATTTCTCAGACACCCATGGGAGAGCCATTCTCCAGGCACTCCTCCAGGAAAGCAAAACACTTGTTCTCCGTAATACCCAAAACCTGCTTCGGGCCGTGCTCTCACAGCCTCACAGCAAGCTGCTCTTTAATGGGTGACCCTTTGGCTGGGGAGCTGTTGATCACAAGTTGCTGTTAGCCAAGAGTCAGTGTAGGAACTAATTAGCAAACAAACTGAAATGACTTTGTTTGGGAAGTTGTCATGGGGCCCAGGCCAGCAGGAAAGGAGAGCACTTATGGCTTGTAGTAAGAGGACAAGACATGCTCTCTAGTACCACTGTGGAGCTGTTTAATACACGTTGTGTTAAGAAGCAGGCTCCTGCCTGGTGTGTGCCCCTCTGCTTGGATCAAAGAGACCTCAGAGCGGATCAGCTTTCTGCACTAAGGTATAAATAGCCCTGTCAATGGGATCCTCTGTGGTATCCTGCCCACAGAGAGTATTCCCTCCTCACTGTTACTCGTAAGCTATTGCCCAACACCACTGACAGGGTGTCTTACACTTCTTTAATTCCATCTGATGTGACTGTCAATGTTCTAGTTGTCCAGATAAGTCACTGACCATCTCTGAATGCTGCCTGCAGGTAGAGGAGGGTTGTGTTAGCTTTACTGCAGCCAGGCAGAGGGGAAAAACCAACCATATTAAAGCCTTTATTGTTTTGCTATTTTTTCCAGAGTCATCAGCAGAGCCCCAGGTCTGAAACTGGTGGTAGAAACCTTGATCTCGTCCTTGAGGCCTATTGGGAATATTGTCCTCATCTGCTGTGCTTTCTTCATTATCTTTGGGATTTTAGGGGTCCAGGTAAGAGTATTTCCCTCCCCAGAGCCATCTCTAAGTGACTGCTGCAAAAGAGAAGCTGTTTTGCTCACCACCTAGGGTTAAGGTGGAAGTACTGAGCTTAAATATGTCCGAAGGGGGATTTCAGTTAGGTGTTAGGAAAGGAAAGCCAGGTTGTAGAATAGCTGCTCTGGGGTCGGTTGGCATCTGCTCACTGGAGACTTCTTAGAAGAGCAGCCCTCCCTGGTGAGCAACACAGCACCAGCTAAGCCTGAGGGAGGAGAAGGAAAACACAAATACCCAAGATCTCTCCTAGCTCTGTGTGCTAGGACGTATAGAATATCTCTTCCTTAGAGGGAAGATTGTCATCATCCCAACAAGACAGATTTGGTTTGCAGCATCATCTTCCTTCTGCATCTGAGGCAATACACAACAATACCTCAGTGCCTGAAGTTTCACCAGAGGTGTTTTCCTGCCATGTATGTTAAGACAGGAATCTGAGCTGGAAGGAAAGGAATTTGAACTTGACAAACAGCTACTAGGGGAAAGAAAGATAAATCAGGGCTAGACTTTCCACAGCCTCTTTTTTTTTTTCCCCTTTTCATTTTTGGTGCTTCTCAAATACAGCTTTTTAAAGGCAAGTTCTACTACTGCGATGGTCCTGATGTGAAAAACATCACTACGAAGGCTGACTGCACCAATGCTCGCTACAGATGGGTTCGGCGGAAGTACAACTTTGACAATTTGGGACAGGTAAAGTCCTCACTGCAGGGATTTTCTGTAACAGTTCTTAATGGATGAGCACTTAACATAGGCATTCATCTATTGGAAGCAACCCCAAGGGGTAAAACGGATCAGGTCACCTCTTGATCTCCTGCAGCCAGACTTCCTAGGATTATACAATTCCTTATTTGTAGGAGAGTGTTCTATTAAAGCCACTGCTTTTACATGCAGTCCCTCATGTCTGGACCTCAACTGTCATTTTTAGTCTCTTGACTTCTACCTGTTATGTTTGCAATTGAAATTAAATACGGTGTGATATAGTGGCTGAAAAGCAAGACAGCTCAGAGAAGGAGCTGGGATATGTTACTGCCTTTTAAAACCCCACAATACTGAACCAGCCTGCAGTACTGATTTTTAATCATGCTCCGGTGACCAGAAAGCCTGATGTGTCTAAGCATAAGTCAGCCTGTGTGTGAGAGAAAAGGAGTGTTAACAGCTCTAGTTTGCTCACTTTTAAGCCAGATACAGAAATAGGTAAAAGCATCCACAATATGTTGCATCTCTCCACCAGCCCCAGGCCAGATGATGTGTTCTGAGCTGTGCATTGGTTTTGCTGAGTGTTGTCTGTTGTATTTTCTTTTCTAGGGACTAAAATGCAAGACCAAGCTTTTCTGTTTGTTTATTTTCTTTTAGGCCCTTATGTCCTTGTTTGTCCTCTCCTCCAAAGACGGTTGGGTGAACATCATGTATGATGGTTTGGATGCTGTGGGTATTGACCAACAGGTAAATATACTGCAGAGTCCAGCTGTGTTGCTCTCACGAGTCTCATGCTGGGGTGACTGATGGTTTTGAAGTCCCAGGAAGGAGCAGAGCTATAGGAACTGACTGTGTGTTGGGCTGCCAAGGTTTTCTGCTCTTCAGTGAGTACCATGTAGTAGGTAAACAAGCATTGATGGGGTTTTTTTATTTGAATGATGGTACTTGAGGAGTACTTGAGGAGCCACATGTGCCATTGCACAGCAGCTTCACAGAAGGCATGATGAATAAGAACAAACTCACATGAGATGGGGTAAAAACAGGAATGTTATGAAAGAGAAATTGTTAAGCTTGTGTATTATGTGGCATTTGAAAAAGAGAAGTCAAGAGTCTTTGATGAGTAGTACCCAATTGTAGCTACAGTAACACTTTGTACCTAATTTTCTCCTGCTTCTGAAGATCTCATAATAACTGAGAAACATTAACCATGAGCCCACATCTAAATAAAAATAAGCCAGAGCCTATCTTTAACTAAATTGATCTCACAGGTGGGATGATGCACATCCACTGAGGTTTATCTTAAGCTGTATGAAATAAATGCCACTTCAATCCTGTAAGCCCACTTATGGAGGGTAGGGTGGCTTTTACAACAGAAGTATAATTCTAGTCAGTTAGAAAGCGAATGAGAGGAAGCTGTTTGGGGAAAAATCTCCTAACTCCTCTCAGCCCTCTCCTCCTCCCCACAACAGTGTACTGTGATGTCTTGCTGCTACAGAGTCCCCAGTACCCTGACTTACACACATCATGCCTCTGCCACTTAGAATCACAGACTCATAGTATCATAGAATGGTTTGGGTTGGAAAGGAGCTTAAGATCATCCAGTTCCAACCATCCTGCCATGGGCAGGGATGCTTTGCACTAGACCATGTCACCCAAGGTCCTGTCCAGCCTGGCCCTGAACACTGCCAGGGATGGGGCATTTACCACTTCTTTGGACACCCTGTGCCAGCGCCTCACCACCCGCACAGTAAAGAACTTCTTCCTTATATCTTCCCCTTGTTTCAGTGTGAACCCATCACCCCTTGTCCTGTCACTACAATCCCTAACAAAGAGTCCCTCTCCAGCATCCTTGTAGAACCCCTTCAGATACTGGACAGCTGCTATGATGTCACCACACAGCTTCTCTTCTCCAGGCTGAACGTCTCTCTTTGTTTTCTGATTCCCCATCTCAGCCCATCCAGAACCATAACCCTTGGATGCTTCTCTACTTCATCTCCTTCCTGCTCATCGTCAGCTTCTTTGTGCTCAACATGTTTGTGGGAGTGGTGGTGGAGAACTTCCACAAGTGCCGCCAGCACCAGGAGGCAGAGGAAGCCCGGCGGCGGGAGGAGAAGCGCCTCAGACGCCTGGAGAAAAAGCGCAGGAGTAAGGAGATGTACCTGTCTGGTCGGTAGACTGCATTACAAACCCAAATCTTTCTGAGCCCTGCCTGCTCCCAAAGCAAGACTTTCGTTCCCCTTTGGTTTTGTTTCCATGGGATTCAAGAGGCTGTTTTGTTTCGTTACCTCTTTGGCACGGTACCTTAAGTCTTGGGTTGCCAACACCCTGGAATTGTCCTCTACAAGGCCTAAGTAAAGCATTACCTGTTTACTTGGCTGGGGAGGAAATCCTCCTCCAAGCAGATCTCTCTATCGTGCTCTGCAAGGCAAAGGTGTCCCGAGCACCGAGCGGGAGCTTGCGGTGTGACTGAGGGATGCAGTGTAAACAGCTCAGTGCTTACTGTGTGCACGAAGGCCAGTCCCAAGGGTAGCCCAGTGGCTTAAAGTGCCGCTTGCATCTGAGGATGGTGGATTTGATTTCTTAGTTCTTTTCTTAGACAAAATAATTGTGATGCTTTTTAGAGTCCAAGCGCATGGCCCCGCATGCCACAAACATGCTGCATGAGGGCATGAACAAAGCCACAGCCCTGGGGAGAGGAATGGAGCCCCAGGACGGGGCTATCCAGAAAATTCTTCTCTGGAAGATGTCCATTACAAGAGATGCTTGCCCCATCACAGGCTGGGGGAGCTGCTGGGACTCAGTCTGTCCTTGCACTCAGTCTACATGGAAATACTGGCCAGATGCAGGGCCATCACAGTCCAACAGAAGGCCTTTAGCTGAAATCTCCTCCTCAGTGGATCTAGTAGGGACCATCAAACCAGACCAGAAAAACACCTGAGCTTGTGCTCCTTTCCTCACTTAAACCTTCCCAGGGGTTCTCACGTATTACTTCTCACCTTCACTGCTCCTTGGCAGGCTCTGCCAGGGACAAGCTGCCTATAGCATCTGGTGGGTATTCCCAGGGAAACTGCCAGGAAACCAACCACACTGACTTCCCAGCCAGTTTTAGTGAGCAGGGATAGCCTGCGTTAGATGCTGGCAAGCATTTTAGAAGTAAGTGAGGGAACATGGCTTGGCCACTGTGATGAAAGATGAGCTTAGTCAGGGATAAGGCTTGAGTGCTTTTGGCCCTGCTTGCCACAGCAGTCCTGTGGCTCTTTGCCTAGCACTGTGCTGCCCTGTGTGATCTCCTGTAAAGACCACTGTGACAAATAGCTTGTTGTTTCCTTAATGTCAAGCCATAGGTATCCATTTCTAGCTGGGAAAACTGCAGTTAGATCAAATAGTCTTTTGCCTGGCTCCAAGGACACAGTACTCAGCGGGTTTGCTACTAGAAACCCAACCCTCTTAGCTGCTTTCCTGCTCTTGGAGTCCTCTTTTTTAGAGCCATGGGGGACCTCAGCATTACTATTTGCACCATGGTCTCACAGGGCCTTAATCACAGAGGTGGCCTGACACCACAGTGAAGGCCAAGCCTGTTTCATCTATAGCTAGTAGTGAGTTAAGTAGCTGGGTTAGAATGAAATCTAGATCAAACCAGCTAGCTGCAAACCAACTTTGAGTCTCTCCAGAGATGTAGAAGAGTTCAAATACAATTTCATTTTCCTTTTCCCATCTTGGTTTTTGAGTTCAAAGTTCCAGCTAGGATTAGAAGCGGAAATCCTGAAGGCAGCATTTCCAGCACAATAAAAGAAATCAGTTTCAAGCTCTCAAGAATCATCCTGCTTGTGCAGCAGTTCTCCCCCAGTGTGCTGACCCAAGAAGACATTCAGATAAACTCAAAGCTTATGTGCAAAAAGAAGCTTATTTACAAAGATTATTAAGCATCTTTAGACAAAATAGGCTGGGGCACAGGTAAGGAGGGATAGCTTAACCCCAGGCAGTTGCTGTTCCTGATTAGTAAGTAAATCTTATTACAGCCTGTGCTTAGACACCAAGAAGAGCCAGTCCCTGTCAAAGTGATGGACACTCTTCCATTGCCCCTCTTTATTCAGCTATCTCGAAGGATAGAGCCAAGGAGATACTTCAGACCCAGGCACTGCACAGATGCAGGTTGTAACATTTCACTGCAGAGCACACAGGGAGGAGGACAGCTTTCTGGAAGGGGATTAAGTCCAATATAGCAACTGAGAGGCTAAATGTTTGGCCATGTGTTGGGTTTCCAGGAGGTTACCTCAGATCGTCTGGCTCTGAGGTCTCCTGCATGCCTCTGTTCAACATGGACAGGTTGGTGGCCAAATATTAGTCATGAACAAGGTGAAATAAAATTCCTGATACACATTTTGGAAGGTTACAATTTGCGTTTTAATGGATTATTTTTATTATTTAAATGGGAGAAGTTTTCACCTTCTGGGTGATTCAGAAGATGATGGATATGGCAGACTCAGAAAGATGTGAAATGTGGATGGTGCCATGTGTGTGGCAGAGTGTCTGGGGGGGGAATGTCTGTGTACACATGCAGGGATGGGATGCTGCACATGCTTTCCACATGCCCCAGAGCTGTGTGTGTCACCCATATGGAGGAGCAGGTGAGAGGCAAGATGAGCACAGGAGTCTACACTGGGAAGCTTAGCTGAGAACCCTGCTTTTGCTTTAGTTGCCATTTCTAGCAGTTGACCTGAGGAGATCATAAAGGGGAAGAAGAATTAGGGCTGGTAACAAGAGTCAAATCCAGCATAGCCAACAGATGTACCTGAGCAACACATCTGGACTCGCTCTGTCTGCTTGGCATCTTGTCTTTGTGTCCTGTCTCCTGTCTGTAATGTCCTGTGTGTAGTAATCCTGTGTGTATTTCTGTGTATTGAGGTCTTTGAGCATCTTGTAGGTATCTACACACAGATAAATGCATCATTGAGCCATACTAGGCTTGGGCTCATGCCTGGAAATGGGTTACAGCTTATTAGTGCCTGGGTGTTTCCATCAGAGCAGGCCCTGCGTACAAATCCCAGGCTCTGCAGGCTGGGTCCAGGATTTAGACCCTGTGTGCAGACCTATCAGCAGCTGACAGAGGGATTGCTCCATGGAGCACACAGCCCTGCAGCTGGACACAGCTCCTTCATCAGACCCCATGCAGGTGGACTGGGGAATTGTCACGTGCCTGTTTTGGGGGTACCTTCAGGAACCTGGCAGGAAGGTCCCTTTCAGCTCACATCTCTGTCAGACACTGCCTCAAACCTTTCCAACAGGTTTCTTGTTTCCCATCTGAGAGCCACTGTTATGAAGGGACAGGACAGTTTGACACCCCCCAGCCCTTGTCAGCGTGCCTTGACTCTCTGTGCTCCTGCAACAAGCATCACTCGAGGTACCAGCAACAGAGAATCACAGAATCAACTAGGTTGGAAAAGACTTTAAGATCAAGTCCAACCTTTACCCCAAACATGGACCCAACATGTCAGCAGGGTGCTGGTTCCATGAAAGCAGCCCAGCTTTCAGACGCAGGCTACAATAAACTCAGCACTGAAAGCAGGCCCTGGGTTTGCCAGTTAACTCAAATCACATGAGTAAATAGGGTGTGGGGTTGGAATACACTGCAGAAATGCATTTGATGTGGTTTTCGAGGCAGAAATACACAGTGTACTATTAAATATGAAGGTAAAAATTCAAGATAAACTAGAATATTTTTCTGACACAGTCACTACCTCCATCCGCTCTATATACTATGTAAATACATATAGTGTAATTTAACAGTCCTGCAGCTCCTAACCTTTAATGAGGTTTTCAGAAGACACAGACCAAAACCAGCCTCCCCAGATTGAATTTTTGTATTAAAACCACATGGATCAGCTTCATCTCTGTATTCATGATACAAAGCCAAACCCAGCCCTCCTGTTTGTGCTGTGAAGCCCTGAGCAGAACTTGTTGTCAAGGTCACACACAGGCAGTGCTCTTGGTCTTCAAAGGCTGCGAGTGGGCTCTGGGTGATGCTGTGTGCTGAAGGCAGTGCAGGCAATGCTGGAAATGCCTGGCTCAGCCTGGGGAGGCCCAAGCTGGGGAGCAGAGAGTGCCTTCCAGTAGTGTCACCAAGTCACCGGTCTCTGGGAAGACCCCAAAATTGGAGAACTCAGAAAATAAATGCTTTTTGCTGCTTTCTGCTCTGTATGAGTGTGGTCACAGCCGTGTTTCCCTGAGGCATTTCCCAACACAGAACTGAGCATCTGAGCATTTTAGATGGAAGAGGCCAGGTTTGGTTTAAGACCGAGCAGAGATGCCTTTCACAGCACTGACTGCAAGTCTTCCTCTCTAGGGGGGAGCAGTCGTGGGCAGCACAGTGCTATTTAAATGCCACAACCATGGCTCGATCCATCAGAAATATTTGATCTGTAACTAAGAGTTTGGGCACATCTGCTTAGCAATTCCAACTAGGGAATTATCAAACTATCTAGCTTATTTTTCCAGGCAGCTGCAGGTATAAAGCTACTTCTGTGCCAAGCATGCGTATAAACCCATTAGGGCTTTCTAATGTTTCATGCAGAGGAGAATAATGGAGGAGCTGTAGCTAGCAATTGGAATGCCAACCTAAAGGCTTTTAAGCTAAGAGACAGTGCTTTATTAATTTTCCTGTCGGCAGAATCACCAGCAAAGTAGTTTAAATACTCTGCAGAAAGGTGAGGTTCAAGCCTTAGCCAACATCTAGAAGCAGGGTCGAGAAAGGACTGTGGTTTTCCTTTTATGTATATTTGATGGTTTCTCCTTTCCCTCCTGCATTTCCACCAATTCAAACCATCAGCTGCAGGGATACTTGTCGGTGTTTGATGTAAGTCTGCTAGTTGGCTGAATGGAGACTCATCCCAGAAACTGTTTCCCTGGAAAAACCAGGCCCAGATTGCATTTTGCCTGCAGTAATTAATGAGGCATTCGATGTCCCCTGTTTGCTGTGCCCGCATCCCTGTGGTCCACTGTTCTCATACAGGTTCTCCTGCAGGTTCCATGTCTCTGGCTAAGCAGACTGTGCGACAAACACTTAACACCCAAACTGGGGAGAATAATGTCGTATATCCTAAGAAGTAAAAATGTGTGTCTGAACTGAGAGAAAGCCAAAGCCACTCATTGTGCTGTGATTGAAGTAAAACTCCTGTTCCTAAAGGGACCAGGAATGACCCAGCAGAGATAAGGGCTTTGGAGCTCTGAAATGCAGCCTCCCTCCTGTCCGGAGTGGGTCAGGGCTGCAGTGAGGCTGTGTGGCTGACCTCTCACTGCTTTCACCCTGCTGCAACCCCTCTGGCTCCATGGGCTTGTCCTGACCTAATGTCAACACCACCAGAGCAGAAGCTGGCCTGTCCTTCCTGCACACCCCTGCTCACCATTAGCCTCGCATGGGCAGCATCTCCTCTAATGGACATTGCATGGGTTACTGCGCTGAGCATGACTGTGTTGTTGCATGTGTTTCAAACTGTTGTCAACTTTATCCCAGACTGTCCTTGTATGTGTCCCCCCAGGAGAAGTTTCATCTGTTAACTTGGCTTCAGGGGTGTAGTGCATCCTAAATGAGAGTAGTTGCAGTCACCTACAGCCTGTTTTCCTTCTGTGCTGCTAGCCAGCGTGTCCACACACCACACAGCGCTGCTAATGTTGTTCTGAGCTCCATTAATCAACCATTTGCTGTTAATAAATAGTCCCTTAATACAACATTTGACTATTTGGGGTATTCTGGGACCACCCAACAAGCTGATACTTTGCATTTCCAAGAAGACATTTCCAAACACAAACCTAAGAAGTCTGTTGCAATCCTGAACACACATGAAAGCACATTGTGCAGGCTCAAATAAATATTATACTGCTATGTTTTTTACTAGTGTTTTTTAAACACAGCAGATCAGCGGAGCTCAGTAGCGAACACAGCTCCACCAGTCCAAGAGGACCGGTAGGACGAAGGCACGTGGCACATGAAAGCAAGAGGAGAATGTATCCAAAACGACTGTGTTTGCTTTCATCTTGTTTTTCCACACCCATTAGGGGCAAAAAAAGCAGTCTTGGTGGCCCTGGTCAGAAGGAAATGTTTTTCAAATGCCTTCACTCCACTTTTAACTACCAGAAAAAAACAGGAGCTGAAAGAGAGCAACAGATTCAGTTTCCCTTTATCCAATTTTAAGGGTTTGGACTTGAATCTGGCATCAGTTGTGCTACCAAAAAAAAAAACCCACATTTCAAGTCACTTTAACTGAAAGATATCAGGAAGATCAGAGGAGTGGAAGATGCATTTCAGGCAGGCACTGAGCACTTTTGAACTTATTTACCTCCTGATTTCCAACTCTTTCCTAGCTCCTTATGCTGAATTTGCTGAAACATGAGCAACAAAACCCCCTCTCTGTTAAGAACAATCCTGCTGTGACTTAGTATGACCCAATATGTCTCTTCCACTTGCAAACTCTACAACAACACTGCCTGTGGCCTGAAGTGCACCCTTTGAGTATTTACATTTCTGAAGTTTGAGAAACATGTGTCTCCATCCAAGCACCCACAATGGTCTAATTTAAGAGAGACACACGCAGTAAATACAGCTCGGTCACAGGGCAGTGTCTAAGCTCTCTCCTTGGAACAGCCCCAGGCACTTGGTCATCTGCAGAACTATCCCCATTTCACAGACAAGAAAAGAGTCCTGCCCAGAGACAAAGATATAAAATCCATGTGGTCATAGCCTGAGTGGTGTTTTAGATGCAACCATGCCCTTGGTTTTATATTTCCAGAGGAGCTTGTGCTGATGGTCTTTGTAGAGGCAAATGCTGAGCACCCCACGCCATTGCTGTGATGCTCTCCTGTGTGCTATAACCCTCACGCATGTGCCCTACTTTGCCACAGGCATTGCTGTGTCTTCTTTAGACCTTTAAAATAAACCAAAAACCTTCTGTAACAGAAGCTGAGCTCAGGGTATGTTCTTTTATGTGGAACATGCCTGGCATCAGTGGGATGAAGAGAAATTAGACCTGCCTTGAGCCTTTCCTCTAAACTGGAGTTGAAGCTTTGATGGGTTTGAAGCTTCTCTCTTGGCTTTGGGTCTAATTTCCATCCTGCTTCTCACCTTTCCTGATGTGGCAAGAGTCCCATGAAGTGGAGATGTTGTCCACTAGTTTGAGACAGAGCAGTAAGGACAGGGAGTACCTGGGGGGTGAAAAAGGACATAGTTGTCAAAGCTGTGGAGCTCCATTCTGCAGGCACAAGAGCTTTGGCTCAGCTACTGCAGTTTTCAGTGCTAGGTGGAGTCACTTGGCCGTTACACGTGGCTTGCTTGAACAAGTTCTGCCACAGGCTTTGCCCCGCGTTAGGGTGTGTATAAGATCTGACCTGTAGGCCACATTGTGGTGGTTGCCAACCATGCAGCAGGGCCTGTGTTCATTGTGTTGCCTTTCTGTCTCCTGCAGAAGCCCAGCGCAGGCCTTACTATGCTGACTATTCCCCAGCGAGGAAGTACATCCACACCCTCTGCACCAGCCACTATCTCGACCTCTTCATCACCTTCATCATTGGGGTCAATGTCATCACTATGTCAATGGAGCACTACAACCAGCCAAAGGTATGAGCTGCACATCAACTGTGAAACACAGCAGCAGGGGATAGCAGAGGACCTGAGGACCATACACTGTTCCCTTGAGATACCATTGAGCAGTGAGGTCTGCAGCCAGCTCCACTTCCTTGGGACCATTCCCTGTTGTTCAGTAGGCTTCAGACTCAACATTACAATCTATTCAGCTTTAGGCCAGCTCTACCATTTGGGAGCCTCTTGCCTCAGCCAGAAGCTTGATTCCCATTGCTTTTGTGCAAAAAAAAAACCCAGAGAATAACAGAAAGTGAGCTAAACTTTTACTAGGAAAAGACCAGGCTAAATCTTTCCTCTCCGGATCCAGGAGACTGTAAAACAGTCCAGAGTTTTGGAATATTCCACCAACAGATATAAACACGAAGTTAATGCATGCAGAGCAATGTTTCTTTTCCTCAATGAATTTAGAATAAACCAACTGTTAAGTACAACCCTTCTTTGCATATCATAAAATCATTCTTTCCTAACAAAACCTTTGGCATAAATCACACAGCCTGTCCATTTGCTGCATCTATTAATGTTCCATTCCATTATTCACAGAGCAAAAAGCTCAAGATTTATTTTCTAGTAGTGCATGGTCTACCAGGTAACCTGCAAATGCCTTCTGGATGCTAAAGCCACAGGGGCACCAAGCTCCAGGGTAACGTGTGTGTGTTTTACACCAGCTGACTGTGTGCTGTTCTGCCCCAATAATTCCTTTGCATAACAGCCTTTGTTTCTCATATAAATATTATTTATCTAGATTAGTTTTTACTTACACTTGGTTTATGTTCATGTAAAACAGAGTTGTAAATCTGAATACGAGCCATCACAGTTGATATAAGAAGTCAGGCTCAGGCAGTGTGCTTCAGGTGAAATAGTAAATTGTCCCAAATACTTTAGAGTTGCTGTTTCATTTTAGGTTCTGGAACAAAACCAGGTGTTGTGATGCATTGAGGAATGTCAACATCCAAAAAACTTTCAGCTCTTGTTCCCAAATAATCAGTGCACGTTCATCCCACATATCTGGGCTCAGCAAAGCAGTCACCACACACACGTGATGAAGAGAGCTGTCCTGTGTCCTGAGGCTCCCTCTGTCAACAAAGCAGACATTGCTTTGCAGACCTTTCTTTTGCATTTCATTTCCAGTTGTGTCTGGTTTGATCTTCATTGTTGTCTTTCTTCTTGTAAGAGACCTATATTGCATTTAACTAAATTCCCCCTTCCTCCCTCCTCTCCCTAAATCCCACGCAACCACAGAGCTGTTTCACCCTGCAATTATCTATTTTAAGGTCCCATCAAGATTCTTTTGCTATTGTTGGCCTACAATTGCAATGAAATCCATTATAAACACTCATCATCTTCAAGTATAAACACTGTGGATTCCTGACTTCCGAGGGCAGCAATGTGGAGAGCATGAACATTGCACCAAATATGGCCATCCTCTGCCCAGCTCTAGAGATGTAACATGGTTCAAGAAGGCAAGATTTAATCCATCTCCAACATTATTTCTTTTTCTGAGCATTTGAAGCAAAGCCATTGTCCTAAGGATTGCCATGCTGGAATAAAGAAATGATCCGTCAAGCCTTTTATTCTACCCAAGGCAAGACAGTTCAGAAGAAGTAAACTTTGTTAGATGGGGAAAGGATGGAATTTCTCTCTGACCCAGACTGAACAATTTGTGCACTGAATTTGGAGGATTGATAGCTCTTGACTAGCATTAGTGCTTATGAGGGTTTTGTTTGCATCAGTGTCTAAGCCTTTGGTTGAGTTTTGGGGTGTGATTCAGTGCAGTTTTGTAACTTAGCTCTGCAAGCTATTACAACTTTACTTCTTTTATCTCTGTGTCTATGGCATCCTTGTGCCTGCCAGTGCCTCCTCAGAGGGTCTAGGAAAGGATAGGTTAGGCTGGTCTAACTGGTGTCTCTCTTTTCAGTCCCTGGATGAAGCCCTGAAGTACTGCAACTATGTGTTCACCATCGTCTTTGTGTTCGAGGCAGTTCTGAAGTTGGTGGCATTTGGGTTTCGAAGGTTCTTTAAGGACAGGTGAGAGTATTTGAAACTCCCTTGTGTTTGGGGTAGAGCTGTTATTGATCCAGTTTCAAAGCCAGATGCTGGGTGAATGTAGCATCATTATGACTGCACGACATGCTGTGTGTGAGGAAGAGCAAAGGGCTGCCTCTCCATAGGTGCAAACTTTATAGTCTAGCTATTAAACATTCTAAGAACTGATGGTATTGCTTTGCAGAAGGAATCTGGGGAATCTTACAACATTCCAAATACATTCTTTCCCCTGATATTTGCCTCTCCACCAGGTCTGACCAGCTCACCTTAGAGGTCAGAAACAATTTGTTGGCATCAATGCAATCCTCAAAAGAGTAGTTTTGCCAGCCTAAGGCAGCAGAGTCCCTCAGAACAGGTCCCCTTTGCAGTCCAAATCAGTCATTTGGTAGGCTGCTGCCTTTCTAAAGCCTTTGGCAAAGACAGAGGTAGTTGTGTTCATCCCTACTGCCTTCAAATCCCACCTGCAAGGACTGAGGGATTTTATCCTGCCTCACATTTAGCCAGAAACAAATGTGTATGAAAGCACATTGTGGTCTGGTGACTTGCTGGTGGGGAGCAGGGTGAGACTGGACACTTTTCCACATGATCAGCTTGTTTATTTCATTTATCCTAACAAAGTGGTTGAAAGCTGCAATGAGCAATATGAGTTATGAGGGTAATTGTGTAGTAAAGACGCTCAGTTTCTTGCTGTCTTTCTTGTACTGGTGTGGAAATATCAATAAAATATCTATAAATCGGTGGAGTAATCCCAAAGCCAAGTGACATAACATGGGAGCAGAGGTACTGCATCAAGCAGAGGTCCCTCTAGCCTAGTACCTTGTCCCTGAGACTGGCTCCAAGTGGATAGCAGGGGAACAGTAGGGACCAGAAGGTAAGCAGGGACACTTCCCAGTCACAGCCTACAGCGGCTTGTGGCTCAGAACCAGACTGTGCCAGCTGCAGTGAGTTCATTTTGTACCACAGAGATGATCGTGGTCCCAGATGTGAGAAAAGAGAGGCATTTGGGATTTGCTAGTGCTTGCTATTAACAGATGATTCTCTACTCTTGGATGTCTGTCCACGTATGACCTTTGTCCTTCCTCTCTTTGTCTCTTAGGTGGAATCAGCTGGATTTGGCCATAGTTCTGTTATCAATCGTAGGAATCACACTGGAGGAAATTGAGATGAATGCTGCACTGCCCATCAACCCCACCATAATCCGCATCATGCGGGTGCTGAGAATAGCACGAGGTATGGCCTGCTCCGTAGGTCTCCATCCATCCCTCAGACACCTCAGGAAATGGGTTGGCCATTTGTTCTTCTAGTCCTGCTGTTTCAGTTTGACTTGAGAGCAGTTGGGTGATGAGGCTGCAAAATGTCAGATCAGTGATGAGCTGGGGGGTGTTTATGGGTGTTTCTAGTGGCACCTTAGATTGGTCTCTAATTCAGATCACAGACCTTTTATATTCATAGCAGACAGAAGCAGAAAGCACTGGAGAAGGGAGCATCAGAGCTTGAGATGATGTTCTTCACTGATGAAGTGTCTTCCACTCTCCCATTTTCCTGCTAGGGTAGTAGTGGACTTTTTGTGCCTTTTGTTCCATTTTACTGATGTCCTTAACATTAACTGGTGTGTGAAGTAGTCAAGATGTTCAGATGTTCTGTGAGCCCTGCCAGGATGCAGTGAGCTTACTATCATATGAAGAGATGCAAGAGAGATATAAACCCTCCCTGCAATATCTGAAGCCAGATTTTCTTTTATGGATTTTACTCACAATATTCCCTAGCCCTGCTGACCAGGATTTGATTCTCTTTATAGTGCTGAAATTGCTCAAAATGGCCACTGGGATGCGAGCTCTCCTGGACACAGTGGTACAAGCACTTCCCCAGGTAAGCTCCCAGACCTTATCCATGCACAGTTTGTTCCCCTTTTGGGCCTAGGGGCAGCTCTGTGCCACTGTCTTTGGTGGGCACTAGGAGCCACCTGTGCCTTGGTAGCAGCGTTGCATGGCACACCCTGCTCACATACTATTAGATGGGAGAACCACAGTGATGGGAAGTTAACAGAGAGCCTGTTGCTGTAGACAGAGCTCTTATAAAACACAGCTTTCACTGCCAAGCTCAGGAAACACAAGGATAGACAGAGAAAGCTGTTGGTGACACATTGGAAGTAGACAGCCTCCAGCTCAGCAGTTTTCTTTGTGAGAAAGGAGCAACCATGTTTATTGACACTTATTGACAGAGGAACTGCAGCTATAAAAGGCAAGTAGAGGAGATGTTAAAAGCTTGAAGTGGGGTCTCAAATCACCATATCCTCATGAGCTGCAAGAGAAACGACGATGCTGCCAGTCGTAATATTCAATAGGGTCCTTCAAGTGTTCAGTTCCTGGCACTGCTTTTTTATGGATCCGTTTATTTGGAAAAAGAAGGAAAGAAACCTCCTCCCTCAAAAAGATCTGAAGCACATCAGGATTCCAAGAAATGTGGAGTTCCTGTGTTTTTAAAATCTTATGCTATTTAAGCTGTGTTCTGCCAGTTTGTAGATTTAATGGTCTGCATCCCAATCTTTCAGTCTTTAGAGTCAGCTCAGCTGCCTACGCATTCCTATTCCATCTGTCACCAGGATCCTGTATCCAGGTGATCTATATTCCAGACATTACTGGAAACATTTACTGCCACACTTTACCCAGAAGTGAGTACTAAAAAGAGGTTCAAACCCATGAAGAATGAGGCAGAGGAACTCTGCAGCCTTCTTCTCTGAGCTGGCAGTTCAGATACAGAACTTCTACCAGGCACAGGGATGGTCTGACAAGTCCTTAGTTTTCAACCCCTCCAAAACATCCCATAGCTGAATCACTGGAAGGAGTTTACAAGTGGTCCCACTCTGTCCTAATAGAAGGTAGTGTAATGTAGGGAGAGCCAGGCCTTCCCTCTCCCAGCCCCACAGGCACGGGGAGATGGCAGCACACCATGGCAGGCAGTCACATCTTGATCAGCTGCCTGCAGAGGGAATCATATCTCAAAGGCAGGGTGATACCACTGTGGCTTGGCCAAAAGCAGGCACTGTGTAGACTACTCTTCCAGAATAGGAGTGGCCGTATGAGAATCAGTAGAACTAGTAAATGTAATTACCCAAATATACCCGTATGAGTTAGTTGCTAAGTACAAAGAAGCTTGTGGTCTATTCAAAAAGAACTGGAAAACAAGGGGAATTACTTTTTCTTGGAAAGACCCATTTACTTTTCATCACTGCCATAAAGATGTTTCTAATCTGAGACATTTGCTCTATGGTATTCAGATTTCCTTCTCAGTGAAGGGTTTTGGCTGAGACTAAAGCATGGAATTCACCAGCCTGACCCCTGTTTTGGTATTTCAAGAAACCATTTGATTTGTGTCCTTTTCTTCTTCTTTCAAAACCATTGTGATTACAGAGCATATTTTCTCTTCTCTCCTTATTTTCTCTCCACCCCAAACAATAGGGTGGCTACAGGCCAGGCCTTTTGTTTCCTTAGGGCATTTCTGCAGTTTATATTCAATCCAAAGTCTCTTGTAAAGGGGAATCCCCAGGGATATTCCAAGCAGATCTTGTGCAGATAAAAATGCTATTTTGTCCTCCAGTGAAATGCAGCAAATGAGAAGAGAAATTTGGGAAGACCTCTCTGACAACAATCACTCTTCCTAAAGCTGCAGCTTGTGTTTAGAAGGCAGGGGCAAAGTTCCTACCCCCATTAAAACCACAGCTGGAAAACCTTCATTGAATGTGGCTGCAAAGTGACAAGAAAAAACTCCTTTTCTGTTTATTCATTACTGTTTCCAGGGAAATTCTTTGTCTGGTGTATGTAAAATGTCCATTTATGGGATTACAATGACAAGGTATTGTCATTGCTCTACACTTTTCCTCTTTTGGGGTGATTTTCATCAGCTTCCTACTTTATTCAGCAGCAGATACAGCTTGAGTAATACTTAGAGAACCAACTATCAGCACTCAGTACAAAGCAGGTTTTCAAGACCTTTTTCAAGTGTTTTCCTCTTCTCGATGAGCTCTGGCCCCATTAAGGCATTATAAAGAATTACACCACTCCTGTGCTTCAGCTGAATATTCTCTTGTTCGTGCATCTGGTGGCTGCACTGGTTTTGTAAGCAATGTCTGCTCTGTAAGACTCCAGTGTGATGGTAATCCTTTAGTGCTTTTCCCATCCCCTGCTTTCCAAAGGACAATAGTAAAATATGGAACTTTCCTAACAAGATCCAGGTTCTTTTTCCTTGTTTTCTCTCACTTGGTCTATGGATGGCACATCAGTTAAATGCAGGACTATACCTCCTATAGAATCATAGAGTAAACTACGTTGGAAAAGACCTTTAAGATCATCAAGTCCAAGTCTTTGTCTTCAAAGCTTGGAACTCCCCCGGATGGACTCTCTGCTAAGGAAAATGTGAAGAACTCCTTGTTCTGTCAGTGCCCAGAAATCAGTAGTTTGCTCCTGTCCAGGAGTTTAACCCTTCCTGGTGCTGTAATTCCTGTGCTCATCTCAGCTTCAGCTCTTGAAGAGGTTTTCTGGCATTGTCTAACAGCAGAAACAAGTCTGCTTTTGCCAGATGCTGAAAACCCACAGTGATTGTGAAGCTCAGAGAGCAAGAATAGAAACGTCATAGCAGCAAGCACTGCGGATGAGGCACGGTTTGGAAGATAGGTATGTGCTGCACGCTGGGAGGAAATACAGAGATGCCCAAGAGATTTGGGTGGTGAAGAAGAAATCAGTAGGTAAAGAAGCCACCATTCTGCTGGCTGTTAACGCTGATGGATACTCAGAAAGGGAGCTCATTCAGTTCAGCCTTGTGGTTGCACCAGTGAGATGACTTTATCCTCCAAGGTTGTCTGTCTGGCCCTTACCACTAGTCCTGGAATCCACACAGATGGCCTCTGTTTTCCAAGCAGACAAATGTGTCCGTTTTCTCTTGGGTCCAGTGCATAAATTAGGCTGCTTTCCTGCTGTCAGGATTATTGCTTTGGCTGGAGAGTGCTGGAAGGAAGATGAGGAGGACTTATGTCCTTGGAAAGGATTGGCAGAGGCTTACTTTTATGAGAAATTGCTCTTGACAGGCTTCCCAGATTGCTGTATGCATTGCCTGCATGAACAACCGAAATGCCAAGGTGTGGGCCAGTGATGCAGAAATAATTGATGTCAGAGCAGAAGAGCCGCAGGAGGAACTATAGTGTGCTTCAGCCAGCCATTGCAGGAATGGGGCACCAGGAGACACATCTTTCACCAAAGCCTCTTCCAGAGCAAGAGGATCTAGAGGGGCTTGGGTAGGATCACACAGCTGGAAGTTCAACAGAGGAGTGGTAGTGCCCATGTGGTCGGTGTCCTCTTGTACATGATCAATGCAACACCCTTGCACATCAAGCTAACACAACCTGGGATAGATCTGTCTTTACTTAGGGCCTAGGTCAGAGGTTGAGACATGCAGTGGTGTTTAGTTACTGCAGTGTCAGTTAGGAGAAGGCAAAAAGCTAATTGCAGGGATGTCTACAAAAGTGAAGCAGAGAGAGCCTCTCCAGGCCATGCAAAGGCAGTGGCAAAAGGGGTTTACTGGGTGTGTGGAGAGGAGAGTCACTTTTCTTGCCACATCAGGGTTATTCCAGGGTTTTTGCAATGGTAGATCACAGATCAAATAGGATGCACTGAGGTAAAGGCTGGTAGCTCCTCATAGAGGCCCTCCCTGCTTCTCTGGGTGGGAGGACTCTGCCTCTCTCCCCACAGCATCCCTCTGTCCTAGGCACCCAAATACTTTTGCCAGCAGTACGTAACAGCCAGGATGCCAGAAAGCTCAGGAGGAATCACAGATACTTGCCAGTGTCTCTATCTTCTCTTGTGGCTTCTCTGAGGTACTTCAGGGTACCAAGACCATCTCCAAGATGCTCTTCATCTCCTACAAGCCATAGTTTCCCCTCAACACTGGAGCCACAGCAAATGATGGATAGTCCCTGGCTGCCAGAGAGAGGGCTTATCTGTAGTTTTCTCTGCCCAGCCAAAGGCACCAGCCCATATCAGGGGGAATTTGATAGATAAACAGAGCATGGGCTGACCTGGTCAGTGCTGCTAGAGCAGAACCACTTCTCGGACCCTGCTTGGGTGTCAGGCTGCCAAAGCTGAGGTTGATGATCAGAGCTGGATCTCTGTCCCTGATGGAGTTCAGCAAAGGCATCCCAGCCTTTGGCTGCTGGATAAAAGTGCCTGGATGTGCTCCTGCCCCCTCCTGTTCCTCCCAGAAACATGATTCATGCACAATCTTTTTTTTGTCTGGTCTCAGAACATCTCAAAGTGCTTTAGAGACATTAATTCTCCATCCACAAGGGTATTGCAAAGGGGTATGTTGAGTTACAGGAGAGGAATGACTCACCCAAGGTCACAGACACAGATAGAGCCTGCCTTCTCTGCTGCTCAGCAGCCTCTGGCTGACCTTGCTACCTCCACCTCAGCCCATCTCTGAGAACATGCCCTGGGTCCTTCTCTGTGCTCAGGCCATGGGCTGAAGAGGCACGTGTACCAGAGAGCCACAGGCTAGCACTGACAAAACATTACATCTAGCAATGATTTGTACCGATTCAACACAGCCAGAAGCTGCACAAACAGACCAAGCAGTCCCATCACCCATCTCAGGATCTTTCACTTGCTGCTGTCACCTGCATCTCTCTTTCACATAGCCATGTTTCCAAATCACAGTCACTTCCAAGAGAAGCATCAGCTGAGCTCTGAAACTGCTTTCACCACAGGCAGACGCAACCTCAGACACCAGCAATCACCACATTAGCAAACATATGTGTCAGTGATGCTTTGAGCCTACACAGCAAACCCATGAATGTAAGCTGGTTTTTGAAGGACTTGCTATGAGATACATTGGTTCAGTCGTGTAATTAGTCATGATCCTAAATCCAGCATCTTCTACAAATGCACACTAGAGAGCAGGCAAATGGCTTATGAGCAAATGTTAGGTCATAACATGCTTTGCATGTCGAGAGATAATAGTTTTGACTGATAACCTGGTAATAACTTTGATGTTAGGCTAAATTCCTTGAAATTTCATCAATGCCAAAAGTTTGCAGACTGATTTATTAGGCATTAAACCATCAGTAAAATATTCAGCTTATAGGCTGCTTTGAAACAGATCCAAGATCTTCCTCTGCAGTGCTACAACATCAGGCTCTAATGTACACTCAGCCTAGCACTTTTCTGCCCTTTAATTCCTTGCTGCGTTGCCTCCCCAGCAGTGCATGTGGGTGCATTTGCAGTGTCCCTGTTTTCTTGTGTTTTCTCATTTTGCAGCCTTACAAGCCATCAGTGCCTAGCAGACATGAGTTAGGAAACACTATTGAAGAAGACAGTACATGCAGATGAAATAATCCAGACCAGCCATCCACCTCCCTGTATTATCTCTTTTATTCCCTGGAGGATAGTAATAACGTTAGTGGAATTGCAAAGGTCTCTGTGTAGTAGCCAGTTGAAGCTTTATAGCAATTACAGTCTCCACTGGGTGATTTGACTGTTCCTATTTCTTTAATACAAAAAAAAAACAACCATTTCATAAGTGATATCTGTGTTAATTTTCTGATAACAGGTATCACATTCATAACCTTTCTAATGACATTAAGCAGCATGGTCAAATGCCCAGCAACACTGTGGCTGTGCTGCCTCAGAGAAGAAAGCTGTCTCAAGATGAAGAGTTTACTAGAAGATGCCTTGGAGATCATGAATCCCTCAGCCTGAGTACCTGAATCACCAGCTTAGTTTTTATTTAGAGATGACATGATGATCAGTATGTGATCACTCATTCTCCATTACAAGCTGAGAGACATAAAGCACTTAAAAGTGGCAGGAAAGGTAAATGTGACCAGAGTTACCTGAAGGTAAAATGCAGGTGGTTAACTGGTCGAGCTACTCTGCCCTTCATGTTCCCTGCCTGTATCACAAAAAATCCCTGCTCTTTGAGATGTTGTAAAGGCTTAGACCCACACAGTGATTGACTCCAGTGTAGATAACTGCAGTGCCGTTGTTGCTAAGAACCTTTGTGTTCCCTTTAGCATCCTTGCACTTCTATTGCCATCGCTTTCAGCCCCCTTGCAAGGCATGTTAATACCTAACAGTAGCACACCACACAGTGTTTGAACTGCAAGGTGCCTGCATTTAAGTGTTGGTATATAGAATAAAGCTTTTCTTTTGAGCCACTGAAAGCTAAAATGCAGGTAGTTGTTGTTGAGAAATATCTGTGAAGTGGCAAGGCCAGGAGAGCTTTACATCTTACTGCAGCATATGTTCCTTTACTGAAAGCCCTCCAGGCTAAGGAAACCTTTGCAAACCAGGCAATTCCTCCTGTGGCTTGAGACATGTCTTGTTAATGTCACTGCTCTGAAACCCTCAGCCTTTGTGCTCAGAATCTCAAACCTGGCAAACAGAAGGGAAAAGCCCTTAAAACTCAAACCAGAGCAGCAGGTCACTTCAGCTACCGCTGCGCTGAAGCGCAGTGCTAAGTGCCAGAGGCTACAGCTACAGGTTGGCCAAATTACAGATGAAGGCAGCATCCAGGTGAGTGGAAGGGCAATGGAGAGGCCACAGAGCCTCAGAGATAGCTTTGCATGTGGGAATCTGCTCCTTCCTCCATGCAGGAGACTTCTCTGGGTCTATTAAAGCAGAAACGTGAAAGGGGAGCAGGGAGCTGGATGAGGAATAGGGAAGATGATGATTCCCTCTTTAGCTTGTGTTTAAAATGTGATGGAGCAATTGAATTCATGACCTCAACTTGCCTGACCCTTGTTCTGCTTTCTCCTTGTGTAGGTAGGGAACCTTGGCCTACTTTTTATGCTCCTGTTTTTTATCTATGCTGCCCTGGGAGTGGAATTGTTTGGCAAACTGGGTGAGTAATGTGCCTGACGCAGCTTATTTCATCCGGTTGATGTTTATTTGGTATCTTCTTTCTTCTGTCCTTCATCCTTGGGCCTTCCTTAGCTTCACAGCTCCCAGTCTGAAGATGAAAGTTTTCTTTTGATCTCAGGGTCACAGATGACACATGAGGATGTAATACAGAACCTGTCTAATGTGCACACGCACACACATTTAGAGATTTATGGCCGTAGAGGAACTATTTACTGTTTAAATATAATTGTTCAGCATGAGTGCATTCACAAAGATGGAAGTTTGCTACTTATGGCACAATATGAGTCTACAAAGCTGGATGGTGGTCAGATTTGTGCTGGAGAGATGCCACCATAAACACACCTCTCCTCAGAGCTTCCACCACACTCCATTAGTTTTCTGCACTTGGCTAACATTGCTCTTCCAGCTGTCCAAGTCTTGTCTGTCCTTTGTTCTCAGCATCACCTTCCCCTTTCTACATAAATCAGGAAGCATCCACTGGTCCCTGATTGTCCAGCGCCATTTATTCCTCTGGCTTGAGGATGCTGCGGGGCTGATCATGAATGTGTCCAAGACTAAAAACAGAATCAGGTGGAGTCAGAGAGGAAACACCATAGCCCTACCTTGCCCAGCTTAGTTAGGCCAAAGCAGTCACTGCCTTTAAATGTGCTGTTGGAAGGAGATGTCTATCTCCTCAATGTTTGCATCTTAATTAGGCCTTCAAGAGCATCAGAAGGGCCCTTGCTCCACAATGCTTTTATAGCTTTCATTAATCCCCTTTATGAGCCCAGCCCTCTGCTCAGATTACACGTGCTTGAAAGCAGAATATTTCTTTCAACTGAAGACAAATTATTTTTGCAGTCTCCAAGAAATTCAGGAAAAAAATTACTTCTGCATCCACCCCAAAATGAAATCCTGTTGGGGCTATGTTACCTATATATAACTATATATAGGTATAGATATATATAGGTGCATATTTATTATATAGGTGTGTATTTGTTCAGCCACAGAGGTGAAAAATGTCTTGTTTGCAGAAGCACCTTCTGCTGCTCCAAATCCTTTCTGGTTTTACACACACACCTTGCTAGTGTTAGCCCCCAGGTAACCACAGCATGTGTTAGAGACTAGGAGAGCCCTGATCTTGTCTGGGGCAAGCTGCAGGCAGTCAGCACAGCGCTTGCCATCCCAATTTAACTGGGAAATACTCCCACTTCTTTTTGTGGATCACTGCTACTCCCTGTCAGGCACAAGAACCTGCAGTGCTGACTCCCCCAAGACTGGTCATTTGGGGGTTGTTGGGTTTGTTTGCTCTTTTGATTTGCCTTCCTATTTGCCTCTGAAATAAATAGCTACTAGTGAAATGCCCTAGCAAGAGACATTACTGCCTGTGTAATGAATCTGTGTTCTGTGGAAAGAGGGATATGTTCCATTTGCATTCATTAGTATATTAATTCTCAGGGGGAAAATGTCAAATTGCTTCGCTTTATCTCCGTGAAATATCCCTCATGGTAGATGTATCCTGTAAAAACTAATCAAGACAAGGACATAATCAAGAGACAAAGGGTACTGTAGAGCAGCATTTGTGGAGACAGCTCAGCAAGTCTGCTTGTTTCCACCTCCTTTTAGATCTCTTTGTGTTGGCTCTGCCTGTTGGGGTCAAGTCAAGAGAAACATTGGTGGAAGAGGCCTCTGGAGACCCTAACCCAGCCTCCCACTTGAAGCAGCCCCATCAGTAGGAGGTCAGAGTAGCTTTGTCCAGCCAAATCTTGCAAACTTCCCTACCTCTCTGATGACCTATCCCAGGGCTGTTGGGTCTTCCAGGTGAAAACAACCTTCCTAATGTCCAACCTAGACCTCCTAAGCCACAGTGTTGCTGTCTGTTATATCATCTGCCTCCACTGAGAAGAATTTGGCTACGCGATCTCCTCAGTAACTGCAGGCCACCTTAGCAGTCCTCTCTGATGCCCTCATGACGTATCTCAGGGTCTTACCACCAGGTTTGGGGCTGCTCTGAATAAGCCCTGGCAAACATGGCTTCACTGATGGCCTTCTGCTTCTCTCTCCTCCAGACTGCAGTGAAGAAAATCCCTGCGAAGGTCTGAGCCGGCACGCAACGTTCACCAACTTTGGCATGGCCTTTCTCACCCTCTTCAGGGTGTCTACAGGGGACAACTGGAATGGGATCATGAAGGTCTGTGCAGCCCCTCTCTGGGTACTTTATTCTCTCTGTAGGTACATAAAGACAAATTTCAAACAAGCTGAGGCAACTCTTGTGTGAAAACAAAAAAATGTCCTATTAAAACATCAAAATTAAACTCCCCCATTTAAAATCCAGGTTTAGTTCAAGTGATAATTTGTCCCAAGTCTTGCCCAACCTGAAATTTAATGCTTTTTAACATATATATAATACTTCAGGAAAATGATGGCTTGTGGCTGAGAAGAGCCATGTACCTTTGGGATGGAACATCGCCCTCTGTTTTATAGATGGTGTAATTCATGGTGTCCCTATTTTCTTCTCTCCATTTTAGATTCACCCACAAGCCGTTGCGTCCGGGATATGTTATATTGATGTTTCTGTATTTGGAGCTCAAGCAGAGCCCCAGCACTTATTAATCCCTCACTTTTCCCTCGCTGTTGCAGGATACTCTTCGGGAATGCACTCGGGAAGACAAGCACTGCCTCAGTTACCTCCCTGTTATCTCTCCTGTCTACTTCGTCACCTTCGTCCTCATTGCACAGTTTGTCCTAGTCAACGTGGTGGTGGCAGTGCTGATGAAGCACTTGGAGGAGAGCAACAAGGAGGCCAAGGAGGATGCTGAGATGGATGCTGAGATTGAGTTGGAGATGTCCAGAGGAGCACCCACCTCAGCCACTGGTGGGAGCAGAGGTGCAGTTGCTCCAGAGAGCAGGGCACCCTACAGAAGTCAGGAGGCCACAAAGTCAGAGTCAGCTCTGCAGGTGAAGCATCAAGCCCTGGTAAGAGTTCACACAAAGCATTTGCTCTTCTTGTGCTCAGGGTAAGGAGGGGACAGTTCTCACCAGCCACTGCGGTCTGAACGTCAGGCAGCCAGACCCCAAATGACACAGAGCCAAAGAGGCAGGAGACAGGGCAGCGTGGGAGGAAGGCAGCTTTCCTGAGTCCCCCTGTGGCAGAGATGTCACCACCACCTCCACGTCTTGAGTCATTTTAGGAGGGCTCCCTGAGGAGAAAGGCTGCTTGAGACCTGTTTTCCAGGGCTAACTCTGTCCTGACCATTGTTCTGGGGGAGGGTGCAAAGTCCATCTCTTGCCCTTTCCAGTTCATTCAAAGGCTGTGAATTTTCAGTTCAGAACTGATACAGCCACAGGTCCCTGTCCTGCTCTTCCAACGCATCAGTCCTTGTCATTTTAACATGGGCAGCAGCTCCAGGGAATGCTGGCAACCCTGACATGGATGACATAAATTCCCTTCACACAGATGCAGATATATACTGCTCAGGGTCTTTTTAATCCCACTTGGGATTTCTAGAGGAAACTCAAGCAAATCATGATGTGCAGCTTGGGAGGGCATGTCTGGCACTGGTGCAAGCGTGTAGCTTGTGCTCTGCCTAGGGCATGGCTGACTTGGAGCCTGGGAATTGTTGGAGCACCTCAGCAAGAACCTAGAGGTTCCTGGGATGATATTCCCAACACTGCTGCTCTCTGGTTTCTGTTAGGCCTCTAGAAAGGGCAATCAGAAGTTGGGGGAAAGGAGGGGCACAAGATAATTGTCCCCTCCCTGTCACCAGCGTGTGGGGAAGAGTGAATATGAAATTGCTTTGTCACCATGATCACAAATAAATCTACTGCAAAATCAATGGGGAAACTGAGATTAAATCACATTAAATTAGATTTTTGTACAATCTATCAGCCTCTATTAAGTCAAGTAAAAAGAAATTTACTTACACAGCAATGGGGAACTCACTATTTGAATGTAGTTCCTAATCGACTTTGCTGCAGGAAAAGGCACCATAAACACTATGGTCAATTTATTGCCTTTCTACTTGGCCTGAGAGGGATCCCACAGTGAGTAGGCTCCCACCTTGCACATCTCTATCAGGTGCCTGGGATCCTCCCAAACCCTCAGGCTGCCTATGAAGACCTGCTGCTGATCCCTCCCCATTGTCTACTCAGCCATGCTCAACAGGGTAAAAGCATTGAGTAATTTATCTTGGGATGTTTCTCTTCAGGGGTCTGTTGGAAGATATTTGTAAGCCAGAAATGTGTGGAAAAAAACAGATCTAAGGAGACCTTCTGTGACCACCAGACTATCCAGCGAGGGATCTCAGGCCCAGCTTTTGATCACAGAGAGGGAAAACAGCCCAGGAGAGCAAAGCAAAATACATTTAATATAAGACATGCAGCTGGGAAGATGTTTTCAGTCAGTCACTGGGAGCTGGCGTTAAAGGAAACCCGAGTGATTAGTTGTACTTTAGATAACATGGTGAATTGTGAGGGGAATGTGTCTAGGATCAAAACCCTGGAGCCACATTGCAGGTCCTGTTCCAAGGGCTCTTGCTCCCCCAAAACTTGGCCTTGTCATGGCACCACCTCTCACAGCTGCTCCATCAACACTGCAGAGACGTCATTTGAGTCCCTGAAGCTTCCTAAGGCCCCAGGATAAATCTGCTATAAGGTGCTTGAAGTGGCAAGAGCTCAGAGAGGCAGTGAGGGGTCAAGCTTAAGGTTTGTGACGTGCTCTGTCCAGGCACTTTCAACCAGACCCATTTCACAGTAAGAGCAAACACAGAGAAACCCCTTTTCTACCATTGTATAGGCTCCATATACATGCTGCCATGATGCCTTCTCCTTCCCTCTGCCTCCTGCCATGTGGCTGTCTTCTTCTGGGGCCAGTGGTGCCCAAGATGCCCCATGTAGGAGAGAGGCCACGGGGTTTGCAGTGGTGTTAATGTGTGTGTTTAAATGTCTGCCTCTGTGTGTGTTTTGGGGAGGTATTACACACATCACAAGCAGCTCTGGGTACCCCCTGTCAGCGTGGCTGAAGACTGACCAGTTTTATCCATCTATCCCAGAGAAGCTTTGAGGAGAAGGGCATCACCACCCAGGCTGGGCTGAAAGCATCCCTGGGAAAATGGGAGCAGAACTGTCTCCTGTGGTTAGAGGGTGGGCCCCATTTTCCTGGACCTTACTTTTGCTCTGCAGTATCCAAGAGTCAACTTAGTGGTGGGTCAGTGATGCCTCATTTTACTCCAGCTGCAACCTGAACTCTTCACTGAGCCAGCACAGCTTTGGTATCCTGTTGCAGTCACCAGGGCTGCAGCCTCTCTCTAAGACGCCAAGAGGAACATCTGCACAAGGCTTTAAACCAAAAAGCAGCTGAGAAGGAGATGGCTGTAAGTAAATTCACCACCAGCAGTGACCCCCTCTCCTGTCTCCTTGCTTTTCAGGGCAGCGCAGCCTCTCTGAGGCCCCAGGACTCTCAGAACCTGCTGACTGTCCGCAAGATCTCCGTTTCCCGAATGCATTCCTTGCCCAACGACAGCTACATGTTCCGGCCAGTGATGCCAGCCAAAGCCCCCTTCCCCCTCCACGAGGTGGAGATGGAAACGTATCCCTGCAAATCCCAAAGAGGTACTGCTCATGGAGTATTCCCTTCCTCCTCCTAGCTGAAACCGTGCAGCAGCAGGTATAGGTGATGGTTAGATGCGGAGTAAGCAACCCGTACTGAGCCAGGGCTTGCTGCCTTCATGTGATCCCATCACCATAACTGCCCAATGTCATGTTTTCATCACATCCCTGCATTTTCCCAGGAGAAAGCTGGTGGCTCAGGTTTTTAGCTGGAGAGAAGTGGGGCTCCCCAGCAATGTCAATTTAGCTGAGGAAAAGGGTGCACGCTGCACATTCCTTCTGATCAGCCCTGACATCAATAAAATCAACGTGAATAAAAGCCAGAGTCAGTGTCACTTCCTGACAGAGCTCCTTTACACCTATGTTTTCAGGCAGTTTTCAGTCTCAAAGCAGCATCTTTCTAGCACAGTACGATGAGCTCAGAGATACAGGAGTTTCTTTGGGAGCCATAAAGATTAGAAACCACTCTCCAGTGCCTCCCCAGCCTGGCCTTATAATGACTCTTGGAGGAGAGACCCTGTAGTCAAGAGAAGCACGAGCTACACAGAGCCTTTGCTTATCCATTTACCCAAATACATTACCCTGCAAATGCTTTTCTATCTCTTTTGTCGTGCAAGCTGGTTTGAAGGTGAAATCAATAAGAAAGAAAATATCTGCCTCCCTAAAAGCCCATGTGCTTCTTGAGTGGCTCTCAAGAACTCACCAGCCTGGTTTCCTTTGATGGAACGTTGTTTGAAATGCAAGAACTGCTTGGACAGATGAGTAGTGGCTTTGCAAACCACGGTGGGGCTGGCAAGATCTGCTCTGGTTTCCTTGGGTGAAGTAACTCTGTATTTGTTCAACCTCTCCGGATACCAGTTAATGTTCTCTGCTCAGTATTTAGTATTATTTCACCTGCACATTCTTTGCTAAGCAAAGAAAACAGAGGTTGAGTTTCATGGCTGCACTACTGGGGATGGTTTTCATCTCCGTAGTGAGTGTAAATCAGGGTTTATACCAGTATAAAATTGCTGTGATCTTGGCAGGGATGGGGAGAACTGACCAGGAATTTGCCCATGTTTCCCAACTTTCTCTCTCTGAGCACTTGAGCAAGGGATATGGCAGGGATTTCCCTGCGTCCAACCAGCATCACCCAGAGCTGTGCTGCTTCTGAGCTGAGCAAACTGATTTAAGGCACAGTCCCATAAGTTACACGCAGGTAAAACTGAGCACATGGAGACTCACCTTGGCATTTGTGCTTTCAAGGACTTGTGAATGTCAGTTAAGTTGTCTGGTCTTCCAGTACTTCAGTGAGTACAGTGAAAACACTGGGAGATGACCAGATCTTGTGTTCCTGTGGTCTTAGATGCAGTTTCTTCATTGACTAGAAAACCAAAAGAGAAATTACACAAATCCAGAGATATTCTGTGTTCCTGACTCTGCAGTTTAAGAGGGGTTTGGGATTTCTTATACGAGATCTAGATGGAAGGCTTCCAACAGGAGGGAATTCCAGCTAAGCACAGGGAGGAGAGCACAAGGGTTTGATTTTATGACCGTGTTTGTGTCAGATTTTATGACAAAGTTTTTCTGCATCATAAAAACCATTCTGTAAAGCCTGGCTTAGCACACAAACAGTGCAGGCAAAAGACTTAGGGAGAAGTGGGGTGGGGAGCTCATGGCTCTGCTCTTTCTGTGGTGATCTGGAGGAAAGCTGCAAAAGAAAAATGATGGAACACTAACTTTTCTTCCTTCCCAACAACAAATCTCCTTCTGAAACACAACTGCAATCTGTCTGGATGGCTTTTTGTCATAGGTTCAAGTTCCCTGACCTCTGGGCGAGATCTCTTGAAGTGATGGATAGCTGTGTTTTGAACGTGGAGCTGCAATGTAGAAACAGACGTTGGGTTTCAAGCTAATGAGGACAATAAATCCTGCAGCCAACAAAAAAAAACAAGGCAAAAGATCTTTCAAACAAGGCAGAACTGCAGTAAAGCAGCACCGCAGAGGGGCTGGGGAGGAGGGATTGCCTTTACACTGAGCCAGGGGACCGGGAGCCTTCAGGAAGAGAGTGATTCCTGCCTGGTACATGAGCTCAGGGACTGTCAAAGCACTTGGTCTCTATGCTGCTGATCAGACCGTGTTCAGCAAAGGGCTGCTGCCTGGATTGACACTGGGGGTAGTGTTTGGGCTGCAATGAATGGGAAAACTGCCCTGTGCATCAGTGGTGTCTGCTCCTGGGGAAGCTGGTGGCAGGGTGCCCGCTGGCTGCTCCAGGCTGTAGGTTAGATCTGTAAGTGGAGCTCTGGAGGCTCCCAGCGCGCTGAGCAGGGCTGCTCTTGCCTCCATGTGGCAGAGCAGTGTAAGCATCCCTGGCAGCACTGCAAAGACAACGCAGGCATCCTGACACAGACTTCCCCGATCCGTGTTCTCCAAATAGGCAACATCCTTTCACAAATCCACCCAAATCCATGCTACCGGGGAAGTGGCAATGGAAGGGTTTCATATGCCCTTTATTTGCTGCCATGTTGTCCTGGTGGCCACCGTCTACCCTGAGTGTTGCAGTATCTGTAAGAGAAGATGCCTTTTACCTGTTGCCTGCCTCAGACCTCCACATCCCCATGCCAGTGGTGGTGACTGCTCTGTCTCTGTTCCCCAGGGTCCATCACCTCCATCCGCTCCCAGCCCGTAGGAACATGCTCCTCTCTGAGAGTGCCAACGGAGTCCTTGCAGCTGGCAGTCCGTTCCCCCAACCACTGGAAGATCCTTCCCCCACACATCACACCTCGATCTCCTACTCTCAACAAGCTGCTGTGCAGACAGGTGAGAGGCCAAGAGCCTACAGAGGTAAACTTCATAGTCACCTGAGCCCTTCCCTTCCTTTCCAATCCCCTTTGGGGGTTCCTTCATTGGAGCTGAGAGGAGCGCTCCCCTTTTTAGGACAAAATGTTTCTGGTGCCATAAATGTGAATATACAAGTGACACACAGGGCAAGGCCCTTTTTACCTGCTTTCATCTTTGTGGATGTACTGTTCTATGAAAGAATAGCTAAAGCGTAGAGAGGAGATGCCCCATTCAGCTTCACCAGTGCAGTGAGAAGCCTGCAGTCAGCCCTACACCCTCTCACTTCAGACAGGCTCCGTTGACTCAGGATTTGGTGCTAAGGAGCAAGCCCAAAATCATGCAGAAAGACCCAGCAGATACAAGCTCTGCACATGTAGGCTCTGGGTCTGCTTGTGAGCAAACCTGCAGCCTCTGGTGCAGGGAGGATCTGAGGGGGGCAGGCATGGTGGGGAAGGCATGGGGTGGTGCACGGTGCGTTAGATCCTCCAAGTGTTCTGCCACAGGCCATGTTTCCCCCCTGGAAGTGCTCCTGATGAAGCAGATCCCCAGGCTCTCCCCCCATCTCTCCCTCCTTACCTTCCAGGAGGCCATTCAAACAGACTCCATGGATGGGCAGACCCCAGACCGCAAGGAGAGCCTGCAACCAGAGCCTGGAGAGACGCTCCCATCAGCAAAGCAGCCTCAGAGCACCTTGACCCCCAGTCCCCTCCATCCCACAACCGCCTCCCTGCCGGGCACCCCTCCGCGCTCCCCGCCATGCTCCCCACACCGGCACCCCAGCACCCTCACACGGAAGCACAGCTGTGGCCAGCACGGCATTCCCAGCCCTGGCAGCAGCAGCCCCCCCAACCCCGAGGGCTGCCTCTTCGAGTCCTCAGACCTGGCTGACGAGGAGGTTCGCCACATCAACAGCTCAGCCAAGGACTGGGGAGGGGAGCACTCGGATGCTGGGGGCCGCTCGACTTCACCCTTCATCTCCCCAGCCCCATCTCCCGTGCCCCTCAAGAACTGCAGCACAAGCAGCCTCTCCGGGGGCAGCAGCAAGGAGAAGGACTTGAAGAAGTTTTACAGCATCGACACAAAGGGCTTCCTCAACAAGCCCAGCTGGGCAGACGACCAAAGGCGGCACTCCATCGAGATCTGCCCCTCCATCAGCCATGGGGACTGCAGCTTCGAGGACCCTGCTGAGGAAAAGCAGCGCTCCCCTGCCCACATCCAGATGGAGTCTGAGTACATCCACGGAGCCCGGAGGAAGAAGAAGATGAGCCCGCCCTGTATTTCTATAGATCCTCCCATGGAGGATGACAGCGGCGCGGCCTCCCGCACCAAACCCTCGGAGAACAGCATGCTGCGGAGACGGACCCCATCCTGCGAGTTCCCGGCTTACAGAGAGGCCCTGGAGCTCGCAGAGAGCCAGCCCGGCGAGGCGGCTTCCAAAGCGGAGCGCCGGGGGCAGCCCCAGTGCCGTGGGGAGCATCTGACCGTTCCCAACTTCTCCTTCGAGCAGTTGGATGGCGGCTCCTCGAGCAACCTCTCGGATCCGGACTGCCGGGCGGACGCCGCCGCTTCCGAACTGAAAAAGCCGGATCACTTAAAAACTCAGTGGAGCAACGCTGAGAAAAGCAAAGAGCTCCTGGGCATTGCTAAGAGCCCCCTCCGGAAGCAGGACTTGGTCCCTGTGACTGTTGCGACAGGAGAAGACGTAGATGACCCAGTATAGCTTTCTGGGAGGGGGGAACAGGGGGGGGATCGCAAGGGCTTGACACCAACGCGGGGTTCCAAAGCGAAGGGATGGAGCGGCCACGGTAGGTGGGTGGCTGCTCGCTCGGGTTCTCTCCTTCCTCACGTTCACTGGGGGGGAGAAGGGTTTGCAAAAAATAACACACACAAAGGGGAAAAAAAAGAGGAAAAACAGCAGAAAAGGAACCAAACGGCTGGAGGAGACGGTGATGGGCGCCGGGGGGGGGTACAACGTGGTTGTGGGGGGGTCTTTTCTAAAGGGAAGGTTGCCTCTGTGGCCTCAATCACATTGATTCGGGTTTGAGGTGGGGGGGATTTGGGGGGTTTGGTTGGTTTGGGGAGGGGGGTTTTTTAAAGATGCTCAACTTTTAACAAGGCACCTTTTAGAGACGTCCCGTGAGGCGGGAGGGCCCGGGTGGGAGCTGTACATTGTCTGTATATCAGCACTTATATACATAGAAATAATGTATTTGTGAGATACAAAACAAGGACAAAAAAAAAAAAGGAAAAAAAAAAGACCAAAAAAAGAAGAAGATATATACCCACAGAAACTCTCTCTTCATAATGCACATATTTTTATAGAGAAACGATACTGGGTTTTGCATTACATGTGACTCTGCAACCGGGTGGTGTTTCCTTGGGGTTTATGTGGAACTAATGATCACGGCCATTCGTTTTCCAACTGGTTTCTCTTCTTTCTTCATTCACCTCCATTTCCTTCCTCTCCTTCCCTCCACCATCATCCCACCAGCTTCTTGGCACAGCTGATGCTTGAAACGTTCTTTTGTGCTTTAGAAGTTGTCCTTATAACGGAGAAAGAAACCAAACCACTACTGAATTGTAGCCAGTGCAATAATGAGTTCTTCATTCTCGTCTCTACATCTGTCCTGTTGCTTCTTTTCTCCTCCTTTTTTTGAACCAAGATTCAGGTGAAATGTTGCAATAATCTGAACTAACGTGCACAACCGTGGTTCCTTGTGGAAAAAAAAAAACATGGAAAACCAGGAAAAAGTTAAATTTACGGAGAGCTAAACCCCACCAAATGAATAAACTAACTTATTTAAGAAATGTATTTTGTTTACTGCAGTTCACAGTAAGTTATTGCTCCAGGATGTAAAGGTGTAAAAGCGCTGTCTTAGGTGATGTTCTTTGTGAGCACTGAAGCTAATGCTTTGTCCTCCTCGCAGCAGGACGACTTCTGTCCAGCATCCCTCCTCATCCTCATGGCTGCATCCACCTCCCGTCGCCAGCGAAGCCTCCGGAGGAATCCAGGTCTCCTTTAACTCCATTTCTTCTCTCTCGTTTCGCAGTCTGGGGGTTGGGGTTTCTCTTTTAGCCTCCGATCCTGCCCTCTCCTCACCCTCATCCCAACCTTTCACCGTGGGACAGCATCACCGTGTTCCATCGGAGCAGCACCCAGCCTGTCGCGAGGACACGCCACCAGTGCTGGGTGAGAAGACGGGGGGGGAAACAAGCAGTTAAAGCAGTAACTGTTGAAGCAGTGAAAGCAATGGGTTTTGTTTGGTTCATTCCATGCCTCATATTTATGCATCCACATATATCTTCTGTTATTTATGCATCCATTACTCAAAAGGAAATGTATCTTGTTTCACATGTATTAAACTGTATAAACTGGAAGCGTGGCCTCGCTTTGTGCCAGGGTGTAGCCAGAGGCTGAGCCCTGCTCCAGCCTTAAGGTCCCATTGCATCCCCCCCAGAGCCTGGCGTTCCCTGAAACCTCTTTCCCAAGCATCCTGGATCCACACTGTGCCCTTCCTGCTGATGCTCCCACCCAGCTCCAACAGCGACTCCCTTCCCTCATACAACAGCCTCTGTCTGCGGAGTGGCTTCATGCCTCCAGGCACCTGCACTGCTGTAACTCAGAGTCATTTGGGATCAGTGTAAATAATTATTGAGTCTTGGTGGGATAGGGAGGAACTCCGGGAAAGCACCATAAAACAACCATTAATGGTGCTCTGGGGATGGTGGCAAATGCCTTTCGCTGCAGCTTAAGCAGCAGAATGGGAAGGAGGGGAGGTGAATCCCCTTGTGCTGGGCTTAATCCTGCCTGGAAGTGCCTGGTGTGTCCCTCGGGAGAGGAGGAAGCTGCCTTGTAACGATTACTGCTGGATTTACCCAGCTTTGCTGGGAAAGGAGCATCCCGTGTGCCCATTCCTGGTTCCTTTACCTGGGGGAGCCCCTGTGCTTGGCAGGAAAGGGACAATTCCCAGGGCATCCCAACCCCAGTGCTCCCGAAGCCACCACACACTGTAACCATGAGCAGGAAAAGCCTTTTTGCAACCCCCCCTGTGTGCTTCACACTCCTGCTTGGGGTTCAGTGCTCTGATTTGGGCTTCTTTTAGCCCAATAAAGCGCAGCTTTGCCAAAAAGAGCTCCTAAGAGCAGAGGGTCCTGCCTCCAATGGGATTGCTCTTCCTTTGGCTGGAAACCTGGCTTCAGCAGGGATTATTCCCAGCGTAACAAACCCCTTCCCTGCTCTCTGTTTGCTCAGAGCTCCTACCCCACCAAACGTATTGGGTTTAACAACTGCCCTCTTTACAAAGGAGATGGTTCCTAACAGGGGATGTGATTGTCCCAGTGTCCCTCTGGGCACACACTGGTGTTACACCGATTCTCTCCCACGTGAAGCAGGCTCCATCAGGCTGCCTGCAAGCGGTGCTTAAGCTCCGAAGTGCAAAGCACCAGGTCAATGCAATGCTAATGTGAGCCATTATTATTTCATTGGGTTGATTGCTACTTTGCATCTTTAATGACAACTCCATCGTGTTCCTTGGCCTGGCCCGGCCCAGAGGAGAAGGGCTAAAACACGGATTGAAACTCACCGTGCTGAGGAAGAGGAAACCATCACCAAGTGACTTGAAGAGGCTTCGGGTGCTCTCTGGTCCAAGGTTACATCTCAGATGGCATCAATCCGGAATTGCCTTTGTTCAGCTGGGGAGAAAGAAAGAAGAAAGCATTAAAAAAGCCTCCAACCAAGCAAATGTGCAGCATCCCCAGTGCTGTCATCACCTGTCAGCGCTGCAGCATCATACAGGTACTGATAAACACCTGCTATTTGGGCAGGCTTGCTTAGGCTGAAGGATTAAATGGCCTTTATCCATTGAACACTCCCTGGAAAGCTTTAAATACGTGGCTGTGTATTAATGGCTGGGGCCATCTCAGCTTCCAAAAGGGGGAGAGGAGGGACACCTTCCACTAGAGCAGCTTGCTCCAAGCCCCTGTGTCCAACCTGGCCTTGAACACTGCCAGGGATGGGGCAGCCACAGCTTCTCTGGGCACCCTGTGCCAGCGCCTCAGCACCCTCACAGGGAAGAGCTTCTGCCTAAGAGCTCATCTCAGTCTCCCCTCTGGCAGGTTAAAGCCATTCCCCTTGGCCTGTCCCTACAAGCCCTTGTCCCAATCCCCTCTCCAGGTTTCCTGCAGCCCCTTTAGGCACTGGAGCTGCTCTAAGGTCTCCCCTTAAGGAGCCTTCTCCCCTCCAGGCCTCCCTTCCCAGCTGGCTGGCAGCATCCAGACACAGAACCCAACAGTTCATCCCATCCGTCTTCACCCAGTTACCTTCTCCCCAAAATAAGCCTCCATGTGTATATATATGGAGGAATACATGGAGTAATGCATGAAGGAATACGCTCACTCCCATGTGAGTATACTCAGCAAGAATTACACCAAGAACATCCTCCTCTGATGCACCATTGATGCTATGGGAGCATCCTCCTTCCATGCTGTTGGATTGGAGCAGGAGGTGGGAAGAGCTCTGAGAACAGAAGCAAAAAGCATTGAGACAAAGGGCAGGGAAGTTCTGCAGCCTCTCACGGCCATAAGACACGGGCAGGGGTGAGTCAGGCTGAAGACAACCTGTTCATTGCAGACAAATGGCACCACGAGATGGGTTCAGTGGCCATTTAGCACGTAAATAGTGGCTGTGCCACTGCGTTGCCATTCCTGTGTCCCCCACCTTCCCCCAGCGCCTGCTGGAAGCAATGGCTCTGCCCCAGGGCTGGTTTCATCCTGCCTGAAAACGTGATGGTGACAAAGGAGCTGCTGCTCGGGTGCTCCCGGACTTCCAGCGCTTCCTCACAGGCACCGTGAGGAGCTTTTCCGAGGCTGAGGCCAGCCTCCATCCATTCTCCTACTCAGGCAGGTGAGTGTGGAGTCAATACCTATGGGAACAGGATGAGAGCACCACTGGAGCCCATCACCGCGGCAGCAGGGCAGTCAGGTCAAGGTGCACCAGAGGCTCTTAGTGACACATCCCTTCACATCTCACACGATCAGGGCAATTCCAAGGGAAGAGGGGAGTGTTTCACGGCGCCGAGAGGAGCACCAGCACCATTCAACAGCCCCCGTGGAGCACCACGATCTGCGGGCTTCCATTATGGTGGAAACCAAAGCCCTGCTGGATCATTCCATTTTCCAGCAGGAAAAGACGCTTCCTTGCTTGGGATTTCAATCACGGACAAAGATTCCAAATGCAGCCAATTGCAGCGAGAGAGGCGTGGAAAGGAGGGAGGAAAAGGCTCCCGTTATGGCTGCGAGGGGATAGAGTCCAGGTAGAGGTGAGTGCTGAATGACCCTTCCTGCTGCCAAGGGGAAGGCTGCCCAGTGCTGGGATTGACTCCTCCAGCAGCTGGAGATCCCTAGGGAAGGAAACGGCCTTACACTGGCTCTGAGCTTGCTCTGCGGTACCTGGTGGCCACGTCTTAACCAAACAGCAGCAGGCAGCTCAGTGGGAACGGGTTTGGGTTTGTCCTGATGGGGTTTATCCCAGAGGAAGTTTCTCAGGAGGGATGGGGAGAAAGGGTAAGATCTGAACCATTCCCTCCCATCCCTCCAGGCTCCCCCATTCCTCTCCTGCCCAAGTTGGTTTGCTGAATGTGAACAGGAAAAACAAACTCAAATCATGGAATCATGGGATAGAATCAGGGAATCAATGAGGTTGGAAAAGTGCTTTAAGCTCACCCAGTCCAACCATTCCCAGCACTGCCAAGGCCACCACTGACCCATGGCACTGAGGCCTCGTCTCCACGCTGTGTGAACACTTTGCAGGGACGGTGGCTCCTGTTTCAATGCCTGAGCACCCTTTGGGGAAGGAATTGCTCCTGATTCTAATATTTAATGGTTAATAATTAATAAAAATTAATTAATAATAATAATTTTCCTGAATATAATAAATAAAACCTGACCAACCCAATTGAAGCACTGGCACAGAGTCCATCTATTGGGCTACGGAAGGTGTTTCTCATCATGCAGTTTACCCTCAGCCCAACACAACCCATGTTGGTGTGGCATCTTGGTGCTGTCCCTTTGCCTTAACAAAGACACCTGCACCCAAATCACTGCGCGGCACTGCAGAGGAGCCAAAGCACAACGCACCCGCTCCGGCAGCAGGGAGGTGAGACCCGGAGCCGCGCTCCCAACGAGGGAGCATCGTGTGGGATGCTCCAAGGATGCGAGGGGATGACCCGCAGCGTGGTACCCTCGCGATAAGGAGCACCGCCGGCCTCTCCCTCCCCTCCCATCAGTGCAGGTCGCAAGGGGGCCCTGCAGAGGCTCCGATTCCCAAAGATTTCCTGCCTGGAAAACGCTCTCTGGGTCTGGTCCCTCACCCAGAAGCCGGCTCAGCCCGGCCGGCAGCAGCACCTAGTGGCCATGTCCTTAGTGCCTGCAGCGCGCTGAGGCCCCGGTGCCCCTCTGTGCTTTAAACCGGGCTCATTTGGGTTGATGTGGGTCGATATGAGACTATGATAAATCAAAGCACGACGCGATGGGAAGGGAGAGCGGCCGGGGAGCCTCACACCCCGTGGTGGGGTGGATTATGGGGGTGGCATTGCGAGGATGCAGAGCGGGGTCTGCCCGCGGTTTGGGGCTATTCATTCTTGTTTTGGGGCTATTCATCCGTGGTTTGGGGCTATTCATCCTTGTTTTGGGGCGATTCACTCGTGTTTCGGGGCGATTCAGTCGTGTTTTGGGGCGATTCATCCGTTTTGGGGCTATTCATTCTTGTTTTGGGGCTATTCATCCGTGTTTTGGGGCGATTCATCCGTTTTGGGGCTATTCATCCTTGTTTTGGGGCGATTCACTCGTGTTTTGGGGCGATTCATCCGTTTTGGGGCTATTTATGCTCGGTTTGGGGCTATTCATCCGTGTTTTGGGGCGATTCACTCGCGTTTCGGGACGATTCAGTCGTGTTTGGGGGCGATTCATCCGTTTTGGGGCGATTCATCCGTTTTGGGGCGATTCATCCGTTTTGGGGCTATTTATGCTCGGTTTGGGGCGATTCATGCTCGGTTTGGGGCTATTTATGCTTGTTTTGGGGCGATTCACTCATGTTCTGGGGCGATTCATCCGTTTTGGGGCTATTTATGCTCGGTTTGGAGCTATTCATCCGTGTTTTGGGGCGATTCACTCGTGTTTTGGGGCGATTCATCCGTTTTGGGGCGATTCATCCGTGTTTTGGGGCGATTCATCCGTTTTGGGGCGATTCATCCGTGTTTTGGGGCGATTCACTCGTGTTTTGGGGCGATTCATCCGTTTTGGGGCGATTCACTCCTGTTTTGGGGCGATTCACGCGTGCTTCGGGGCGTTTAGAGGCGGGTTCTGCCCTGGCCTCTCCGCGAAGCGCGGCCGCTGAGGAATCGTGGCCCCTCCGCCGCACCGTCCGTACCCATGGCAACAGCGGAGGCGCGGCCCGGGCATGGCGGCCGCGGGCAGCCCCAGCGTGTTCCTGGTGTCGGTGACCGGGCAGATCGAGAGCGGGCGGGTGAGCGGCGGGAGCGTCCGGTAACCCCGCATCCACAGCCCCGGGACCCCCTCATCCACAGCCCCGGGGCTGGCTCCTGGGGGCGGCGGTGCCGGCCCCCCGCTTCGGCCCGTGGCAGCCCTCGGGCCCTGCCGCTCCCCCGGCGCAGCCTCTCCTCCTCTCCCCGCAGTTCCCGGGGTTCGATGACCTCTACTGCAAGTTCTGCTTCGTCTACGGCCAGGACTGGGTCCCCACCGCGGTAAGGACGCGCTCTGCACCCCCGAACCCATCCCGCGGCACGGAAAGGGATGGGGTTGGGATGGAAGGGACCTTAAAGCTCATCCAGCTCCAACCCCAACACCTTCCACTGGAGCAGGTTGCTCCAAGCCCCTGTGTCCAACCTGGCCTTGAACACTGCCAGGGATGGGGCAGCCCCAGCTTCTCTGGGCACCCTGTGCCAGCGCCTCAGCACCCTCATAGTGAAGAACTTCTGCCTTAGATCCAGCGTAAATCACCTTGTTTCAGTTTTAACCCGTTACCCCTTGTCCTATCACTACAGTCCCTAATGAAGAGTCCTTCTACAGCATCCCTATAGGCCCCCTTCAGACACTGGAATCTGCTCTGAGGTCTCCATGCAGCCTTCTCTTCTCCAGCCCCAATGTTCCCAGCCTGTCTCCATATGAGATGTTCTCCATCCCCTGCTCATCCCTGTATCCGTCCTCTGGCCTTGTCCAACAGCTCCATGCCCTCCCCATGTTAAAGACACAGTGCTGCTGGGGGGTGGGGGGGGGTGTGGAAATCACCTCCTTTAACCTGCTCCCCACAGGGCCTGGAGGAGGGCATCTCCCAGATCACCTCCACGAGCGACGTCTCGCCCACCACCCTCGTCTGGAACTTCCCCATCGACATCACCTTCAAGAGCACCAACCCGTCGGGCTGTGAGTGGGGGGCGTGGGCCACGGCTCCTTCCCCGAGCTCCACCGCTCACGTTCCCTTCCTTTGCAGGGCCCCAGATTGTCATCAGCGTCTACGGACCCGACTTCTTTGGCCATGATGTGGTCAGAGGTTATGGAGCTGTTCACGTCCCCTTCACCCCTGGAAGGTGAGGGTGGAACCTGGCTTTCGGGGCAGAGGCAAAGAGGGGTTTTCCTTAGGTACCGCTTGTGTCGGGATCATTCCTCTCTCTCCTTAGCAAGTCTTGCCTGTTTGGTACAAAGAACAGGGATTTGCTAGCAGGATAGCAAGTAATCTCTAGTGATCCTGTAAAGACACAGCTGGGATGTGGAAAACCCAAGTGTGAAATGCAATACATCTCCATCAGCACGCTCAGCATGTGCTAAGCTTTCATTCCCAGACTCTTCCTATATGACAAACACTCTTCCTACATAAGAAGCATATATACACTCTTCCTATATGACAAACACTCATCCTATGTAACAAACATATATGCACTCTTCCTATATAACACTCTTCCTATATAACAAGCATATATACACTCTTCCTAGATAACAAACATATATACACTCTTCCTATATAACACTCTTCCTATGTAACAAGCATATATACACTCTTCCTATATAACAAACACTCTTCCTATATAACAAGCATATATACACTCTTCCTATATAACACTCTTCCTATGTAACAAGCATATATACACTCTTCCTATAAAACAAGCACTCTTCCTATATAACAAGCATATATACACTCTTCCTATATAACACTCTTCCTATGTAACAAGCATATATACACTCTTCCTATATAACACTCTTCCTATGTAACAAGCATACATACACTCTTCCTATATAACACTCTTCCTATGTAACAAGCATATATACACTCTTCCTATATAACACTCTTCCTATGTAACAAGCATATATACACTCTTCCTATATAACACTCTTCCTATGTAACAAGCATACATACACTCTTCCTATATAACACTCTTCCTATGTAACAAGCATATATACACTCTTCCAAAATACAAACACTCTTCCTATATAACAAACATATATACACTCTTCCTATATAACACTTCCTATACAACACTCTTCCTATGTAACACTCTTCCTATATAACAAGCATATATACACTCTTCCTATATAACAAACCTTTCCTTGTGAGGAGTAGGTGTTCTGTTGTCTCATGAGTCTGAAATTCCAGCACCTTTACACATAGAAGTCTTTCCAGTGCTGTTTGCTTCATCTCTTAAGTCCTGTGCGCCTTGGGTTTGTTGTAGGCATACGAGAACCATCCCTATGTTTGTTCCAGAGTCCACATCCAGGCTGCAGCAGTTTACAAGGTAATCATTAAAGACTTCTTGGTTTTAAGTCCCTGCTCGTGGTCACAAAGGTTTACACTGGAGCGTACACATGGCTGCATGTTTGGATCTTAACCAGAGTTTTGTAGGTCAAACCATGCTTTAGGTGCCTCAGTCTTTGAGGAGCTCGCTTCAACCATGTTAGCAGTGATGCTGGCTCCATTTAGTCACGGCACATTTGAACACTGTTGGTTTAGAAAGAGCTCATGTCAGCAGAGCAGGCTGCTGCTGCTGCTGCATGAGCTCCTGCACTCAGTGGCAGCTCCGTGTCCCGTGGGTTCATTCACATCAGTGATGGGACTTGCAGAGGTGCTGCTTAGACTTCGCTCAGCATTTTAGATGCCACTGGATGCTGAGGAGGTTTGCTGCAGTCCAACCCTAAATCCCACTGTAGCTATGGTTCTAGTGTAGCTGCGTGTTTGAAGTATCAAAGCTTCGGTGTTGTTCTGGGTGAACAAGAGGTGAATTGGTCTCAAAACCGTCTTTGCCATAGGAATATTCCATCTGGCTCAGAAATAACCTGGATTTAAGATGTGTATGAAGTTGGATTCATTTCTTTCCTTAGACAAAAGGAATTCCCTTAGCAATAAAGGGAATCACTCTTTGAAACCCTGCGGGAAACAAAAGCTGTTTTTAACATGCATTTAATGGGCTGTATCAGACCTAAATATCACTGAAGTTTCATTTCTCTTCTCCAAGCTGGTTCACAGGGAGACGTCCAGAATTCACTGACCCCAGAGTGGTAGCACAGGGAGAAGGGAGAGAAGGTAAGTCCTGCGAGCTCCTGGCTGCAGCCCGTCCACCACAGCAGGCCACAGCTTGGCCATCCCCTTGTGCTGATAAAAGACTGGTTATTCCTGTTGGGATATGGGCACCCAACACCTATGCAGAACCCTCTCCTGACCAGCTGTATTCACCTCTTCTCTCCTAGTGACCAGGGTGCGCTCTCAAGGCTTTGTGACCATCTCCTTCAACGTAGTGACCAAGGACATGAAGAAGCTGGGCTATGACGTGACCCCGAGTGACATGCAGGACCCTTCCCAGGGGCCTCTGACAGAGGGGATGCACATGTACTGAGCTGGGCCATGAGGGCTTCAAAGGCTGACAGAGGTCAGAGCTTTGGGGCTCGCTGTGGCAAAGTGAAATGAGCACCTGCCTCAACTGAGATATCTCATTGGAGACATCAAAATGTCATCATTATTAGGAATAATTTCATCATTCCAAAAGAAACAGAACCCTGTGAGGCTTTGGAACAATTACTGTCATCCTTTCAGTAAGATACAGGTTGAAATGGTATGTATATCAATGTTATCAGCTATTATTCAGCCTTTTTATATGTAATGTCAGGCTAGCTCAAAATAAGACCTGTACAAGTACTTTTTAACAGCCTTTTGTACGCTTTTTATACACATAAAGAGCAGGAAAGTTCAGAGTTGTAGCAGTGTTCTTGGTTCAAACCAGCATTACAAGCCCAGTGCTCTTTACTGATGCTTTTTGTGGTAGAACTGGGAAATGGAAATAGCTGCACCTTCCAGAAAGGGAGGAATGTGGAACTGGTCCAGTAAGATGCACACAGGCTCCTCTCTGCCGTGTGCCTCCCTCTGCAGAAGCAGCAGCAGTTCCCTTCATATCCCACATAGACCTTTAGGGTTTATGCAACTACTTCATGCACTGCAGACACAAACCTTCCCCACATTTGGCAGTGAAGCAACCTGTGCCTTTGCATCTAGAGCAAGATGCTGCCTCTTCCAGGTTTTTCTGCATCGAGGGAATTAAAAAGGGCAGCAGTTTTAGTTTAGAGGCGTTAAAGAGCCCCTGGTGTTAAATGTATCCTACCTTCTGGGAGGACAAACTGCATTTTAAGTGCAGATGTTGATTAAAAACTAAGCTTTGGAGAAGGCTCCGCAAAGGAAGATTGAGTTGTGTGTGGTCATGAGCAGGATTTAGCTCCAAATTGGGTACCAGCTGCATCGTGCTGCACAGGAAGGGAGGGAGGCAGCAGAAAGGACCTTCTCTTGCATAGCTCCTTCAGCCATCACCTTACACAGATACCATACCATGGCTTTCCTTGGCTGGTTTGCTTATCAGGAGGGCAGGTAAAGCAGCAATATAGCGATGCCCAAGTGCTGTACTCAGGCTTTCCTCCCATGGCATAACCTCAGAGCAGGAGCAGACCCATGTGGGTTGTTATTAGTGCATCACAGGAGCTCCAGTGCTGCAGCATGAGGGCACAGAGCCACCTGGGTCTGAAGAGCTGCTCCTCTGAGATGATGTTAGTGCTCTTCTTCTGGGCTGAATAAACCCATTTGTCTCAATGTATTTGTCTTGCCCCTGCTAGGTTTTGTTACCTGTTTGTGGCAGGACGTTCCTAAGTCCTCAGTCATCCAAGATCTGCTGTTCTTACAGGTACCAAAGAGAAGTGGATGCTATAGTAAAATGACTCATTACTTATTTTCCTATCTCAATTTGGCCATGTAACCTCTTGTGTTTGACTGCAAGCACCCAAAGGTGACTGTGAGAAAGACTGAACACGAATCCACCCTGTAAGGGACTGACCAAGGCCTTGGTAACACACAGCATTGAACTGCAGAGCCAGGACACTGTCAGATGTAGTTAGAGAGATTACTTCATAGCTGAGTGAATAAATGCAATGTATTCGATATGTATTGAATAAATGTAAGCTCTGAGATGTGATCACTGTGATTTTGCTGTGAGCATTCTTAGCATCCTTTAGACTGTTTAGAAATACTTCCCAAGCATTCACAGATGATTTTCCAGCTCTTTCTTTCTTCCCATCTTGTTTTTGTTGATTTTCCACTTCCAGGAAGCTCCTCCACCAGTTGTTTTGGCAACTGCTGTGATCTCGGGACTGAGTCATGCTGGAATCCAAACTAAGAAGTATTTCCTGTTGGCTGGGAGCAGGGGCAAGGAATTTTGTTGCCTTTTCAAAAGCATTTGGGAAGCGGCTCTCCGCAGTAGCGGGATCAGTATCAGTGTTTGAAAGGCAAACATCAAACCTGCTACTGCTCCGAGAGTTTGTTTCCCTTGAGCACAGTTACCAGCCCCCATTGCAATTAGAGCAAAACTGCCCAGCACAGATTCTGCTCATGAGAAACCCGTTAAACCCAGACAAAGCCCCAGCCTTGTGCCCGCAGGGATGCAGTGAACTTAACCACATGCAGCTTTGTGGTGTCCTGCTGTGACCGATCTCCTGCATGGATCCTGTTTCAAACTGGCTGCTTACCCCACTGAGGCTAGTCAAAGCTTCCATGTGTGTTTGCACGGGCTCCATCACACTGCAGGGACCCTCAGGAAAAAGGTTAAACCAGTGAAAAGCAAAGGTTTAAAACACTTCAATCCCAAACTCTGCTGAACAGTGTTTTAGATACGGGACTAAGCAGATCCCACACCTCTACCTGCATTATCGGGGCTCTTTACCTATTGCCTCTGGGTTTGATTGGGGGTTTTTGGCTCCTCGGTGTCTCCAGCATGTTAAGAACCCCACGTACCTTCCTCAAGGCCTTCACACTTGGCTGCAGGAGCTCCTCAGCTTGCTCCTTACCCAAGGGCACACGCAGGGGCGATGCTTCCAATGCTTCCCGAGTTCAACGCTGCTCCTGCGCTCCAAGAGGCAACTGTTGATCCTGCCCATAACCATCTTCTCCCCAACACAGCCTTGCTGCTGCCTCCATCAGCTGCTGCAAAACTCTGGTCTGAGGGGTGCTGGAGCACCTGCAGTGTGCACAGAATCCCTGCTCTCACGACACAGGAGTAAAAAGACACCCGCCTCGGTGCTGCCAAAAGGACATCAATAGGGCAGGGATTTACAACCCCTCAGTGTTGGTTGCAGTTAGTGTTAAAGGTTCAATGAGCCCGTGCTCCAAGAACAGCCAAATTCCAACCTTGTTATAGCAGAGGCTCAAAGCAATTTCCTCTCACCCAGTTAATCCTCCTCCCTTGGATTCAAACCCACAGCTCCCAACCCCTTGTTGGCACAGGCAGTGGTGAGGGCTCCCAGCTGGTGCTGCAGCTCCTGTTGAAGTCTCTTCCCAGGCAGTGGAATTGCCCATAAACCTCCTAATGCAAATGGGAGGGGAAAAGCCTTGATCCAGTACCTGTGTCCTGACACAGGATGAGGCTTCAAGGCCATCAGACAGAATGAGATGAAGCTGGGGACTTGGCAGGAGCCCTCCTCTGCTCTCCTGCTCTGGAGGAGCTTTGGGAGAGCTGCCTGCTCCCTTCATGGGAGAGTTCTGCTGCCACCATAGGAACCACTCTAGGAGACAGCCAAGGACATGGATCAAACAGCAGCTTAGGAGCCAAACCTTCCAGAAGGAGGAAAATCAGTTGGGTATTTAGAATCACAGAATGGTTTGGGTTGGAAAGGACCTTAAGGTCATCCAGTTCCAATGCCCTGCCATGGGCAGGGACACCTCACACCAGACCATGTCACCCTGGCCTGTATCTTTAGGAACGGGCATTGGCAGCCCTTTCCACCAAAACAAACAGCAGCACCAGCTCCTGCCCTCTCCTGGCAGCTTTCGACCTTTAGGAAGATGCTGGAGGCTGCTGCCAAGGTTGTGTGGAGGATGCCCAAGCTCTCCCTGCTCCTCCACGGGGACTGCTGAGTGCAGTGGTGCTGCCCCTTATCCTGAGAGCATGGGACAAATACCTCTTAGTGCCACAAGCATCGAAGGAGCAGGACCCAGCCAGGACCCCCTGCACCAGTGAAGTGCCCTGTTAGAAACCACCCTTTGGCCACCAAAGCCAGGCCTGAGCCTGCAGGAGGGAGGGTGCAACACAAGCTGCTTTCACAGCAGGGTGCAGTGATTCAGGCTCTGTCCTTGCGAGGGAAGCATCAGCAGGAGCAGGGAACTGCTGCAGGTTTCTATTTTTATGCCTCTATTCAGGCCAAGATATTCAAGCACCCAGATTCACCTCGCAGAACATCGCTGCTTTCAGTGCCAGACTTGCTAATGAAGACATTGAAAAAGCAAAACCCACCCATCCCCGTCACCCAACACAACCCCAGGCAGCCCACGGTCTCCTCAGCCTTCTGTGCTGCTACAGCAAGCAGAAAGAGCTCCCTTCAGCTTGGTTACAGCCCTCAAGTTCATTCCCTAACCAAAAAGCCCTTCAAGGAGAACATGAACCCCACTGCCTGACTTGTACAGGTTCTGTGTTCACCGCTGTGGGGCAGAAGGAGGGTACTTGATGATTTTCCATCTTAGAAGTTACTAGAGTACAGTGCTATGGGGAATCTCATGTGGATTAGTGATGGCCTGGCTGGTGGGACAAGTCCACGCTGAGTCAGCATCCCATGGAGCCGCTCAGCCCTTACACAGACAAAGGTCTCCTCCAGGCCCTAACTCAGCTGTGTGGCTCCCAAAGGCCAGGAGAGGAAGTGCTCCCACAAAGGAGTTCTGAGGTAGTTGCATCAGGGGCTACTAAACAGTGTCTTTGCTCCAGGAAGGTTTCTGCTGCCAGCAACAGGACCCTGGGGCTGCATCGAGCTCCAGTGATGCTGTACCTGCTCACAAAGATCACCCAGAGTGTACTGAAGCAACTGAACTGCAATACTAGCAGCAAGGATGCCCTGGTGCGATTTCATGTCAGGTACCAGCACAGGGAGCCGAGAAGATAAAACACCTTCACTACCATCTCATTCAGCTTTTGAAATGTCACTGATTCTCCTTCACTTGGGAATGGGAATTCAATACTCAACAAGTGTTGAGAACACTCAGGTAGTGCCCAGGCTGCTTCTGTCACAGCCACAGATGACCATGGAACACCAGCTCCCACCATCCCAAGGGCTCCATTCCGGTCTAGCAGCACATGCTGTCCCCCTCCCTGCACACATGGGTGTGCACCAGAACCTGCTCTGCTCACAGCAGCTGCTGGTGGCCACAAACATGCTCAAGTGCTTTAAAAGTGCTTTACTCAACACCTGAGGGCCCCATGATCCGAGCCAGGTTTGGTTTAGCTCCCACTCCCCACAGCAAAGGCAGAGGATGCTCCATCTCCAACCAAGGTATTGCCACGCTCCCCCATTCCTAACTAATACTTCACCCTCTGGATGCCAATGGGATGCCAGTCCTCCTTGTTCTAAGCTCCCCATCAGAGGGCTGGTGATTAACCACCCTCATGGGTAACGAGCAGGAGCGAAGTTCCAAAGGGAACTTCCACTCATGGATACTCCAATCTCCAACGATAACAGGGTACGATGGATTGACAGCAAAGCATGAAGAGACAGGATTGCTACCACTGTATACACCACCAGCTCCTTGCTATTCCTAATTCTGAGCTCCCAAACCTCTGTCTTTACAAATCCCTGTGTCCCAGCTCACAGGACAGGGAAGCGGATGACTGGAAAAGGTGGAAGCTTTCAACACGAGGCTGCATAAACCACATTGGTTCTCTGAAACGTAGCTTGCAGGTGGTTGTAGAAGTCCTGCCAAAGCCATAGTAGGAGCTGGCCCCAACCATTGTCCCTCAGTTCAAACAAGCAGAGGAGCAGAGCTGCACCACTCAGCCCAGCACAAACAATAGAGAACAGCAATGAATGTGTTCAGCAAACCCACCTGGGCAGCGCCAGTGCAAGGGGAGGACAAGCCTCTAGATCACACTTTATCCAGAGAGCCCTTTTCCCCTGCAAAGGCAGGGAAATCCCACCTCACTTCACAGGAGAGGAAGAGGAAAGCCGGGACAGGGGGAGAGCAGCTCGCCCAAGGCCAGAGGAAGGCTCAGCCACAGCCAGATCTACCTCCCAATGGGCTTTATCAGCTCCTGCTCCCTCCAGCAACCCCTTGGCTTGCAGCAGCCACCTCCTCTAAAGGAGTATTAAGAATCAGAGTTGTTTCCACTCTGAACCCTTCCTGCAGTGAGCAGCTTTACTTTAACATGAGGCCAGAATCAAACAGTGGAGTATGGATCACCCAGAGCAGCAATACTCACACATGCACAGAGGATGCCTCCTTCTGGAAAAGGAGAGGTACAAAAAGCAGCAGGTACCTGGGCTGCCAGCCCTGCAAAGGAAGTTTTGCTGTGTTCTTTACCAGCCCAAATGCAGAAGCAAAATGAATCAAACTGAAAACCAAATGGATAGGTTCCCCCCCCTGTGGCTGCTTTTCCAATAGCAGGTCCCTGCCACCACTGTGGTTTTGGCACTAAGTGAAGGGTTTGATTAGTGATCAGCCCAATGGGCAGCAAACCATAACTACGGGAAGCCCAGAGGGGCTCTGCAGAGGTACCTCTTGAAGCAGCTTCCTAATGAAGTGCCCTTCAGTTTAAACCATCCACAATGAGAAGCTGGAATCACTTCCCACCCAGAGACAGGCTCCCTGCTCCCCCATCCGCAAGGCCACTGGGTCAATGGGAAGAGCAAGAGTGAACTGGTGCAAATGGGATGCAAAGACTCCCAAAGCCAGCTCTGTCCCAGCTCCCCAACCCTTACTCCATGAGCTCTAGAAGCCGCTCCTTCCCCAGCCTCCTGCCTTGACATACATACGGAAGCCTCCACCGAGCCCGTACTCGATCATCCCTCCGGAAGCGCTGTTTTAAAGAAGCAATTCAGTCACCTGCAACACAACAAGTCTTCATTTTTATTGAGTTAGTAAGGTCTCAACTGATTCCGATTTAAGTGATCTATTAAGAAACCCTCTTTTCTCACAGCAAGAGCAGGCCTGCCCCAGGAAAGCGCTGCACGCATCCAAGGAATCACATTGACAATGTACAAGAAGCATCACTCCCCACAGCGGTTCCGTTCCTCCGAGCACCCCAGGCCTTTCAGCACAAACCTTAAACCACCTCAAGCAATCCATGAGCTTTCTGGAGAACTCAAGCATGGCAGTGACAGTTTTTCCAAGGGGATCATAAAACACTTAGGCAGAGCCTGGAAAAAGCAACACGCCTGGAATATAAGCAATACAGTTTTAATTCTGACCAGTCACCTACAAACCCCTCGTCTTTCCACTGTTCTGATGGCATTAAGTATCACATTTGTGACATTGCTTGGGGATGGGGATGGGGGGGGGAAGAAAGAAAACAAACCATGACACAGAGATACAGACATTATGATACAATAGTACAAATGATAAATTATTTATACAGTAAATAATGTCAATAGTCAGCACAAATTCATAGAAAGCAGCCGGCTCCCGGGCTTATGAAACCAGTTTTGGTGATGGTTTCAGTTGTAACAGGGAAAGGAAGCGAAGTCTTGTGAGATTCTGCTGTGAAAAATAAACCCATCTCTTTCTCCGCGAGTCTGTGCAATATTAATACATACAGTACATGTTAGAATCTGTAACAGCAAAAGGGAAGATGGAGAACAAGAGCTGTCGTAGCTACGGGGCTTCAGAAAGACCGTAAACACCACAACCCACCACCACGGTTTTCCTTCCCTGTCCCCTCCATGGAGTTTAGTTTCTCTAGGGTATAAAACTAAATAAATAACTGAGCTTATTGGGGGGGTGGTGTTAAAGTTATGCCAAGGGTTGGGGGTTTTTTTTCCATTTCTTTCCTTTTTTTCATAAAATATTTCACACTTTTCTCTTTGGTCAATTTGACCAGTAAGGCTATTTTGGGCTACTAACATTTGATAAATCCAAAGCACTTTTAGTATATTTTGCAAGTGAGAAAAAGAAGGGGGGAAAAAGGGAAACGCGTTTGGAGCAATACACCAGAGCAGATGGGAATGGGATACGCACACGTCCTCCATGCAAGAAGAAGTGGGAGGGTGAGGAGGGAAGAAGAATTCCTCCGGAGAGCAGTTAAGATTTACCGTTCTGCACACAACTGAAGCATCACCAGGCCAGGACATCCCCTGCAGCATCCCCACTGCTGCCCATGGGCACAGCTCCAGCCCAGGAACCAAAGCAGCTGCAGATCTACCAAACCTCTGCGACTCAGCTCCCGTCTCAACCCTCACACCAGGCTGGGTGTCTTGGCATGGTCAAGCCTTCACCTCAAGCTCTACAGCACCACAGGCCAGGCTAATGACTCTTCAGAGCACTCCATCATGGTTTATCGTGCAATATATGTCTATCTATATATATATATGTGATGTAAAACTAATCCAGCTCTTACTGTAACTCAACCCTTTGCCATTCCCCAGTTTCCTTAAGCTAGGGCTCTATCAGACAAACAACATGTTTTCATCCATTCCTGATATTAGAGCACAACTCTGAACTGCAGATGACTTCATCCCTATAAATGCTTCCTACCAACCCCATCCTGCCTCCAAAACCAGTGTTCAACAAGAGGATGGGGTTACAACTTTAGGGCTGAAGAGACAAAGCCCCATCTAAACGCATTCAGGTGACAGACTAAGTGACACCAAGTGACCTCAATTCCACTGTGGATGAAATTAAGTTGGGAAAATGATGATGGAGAAATCTTGCCACAGATCAACTGGAAAATGCTTTTCCTTCCCATCCACCAGAATCACACCCTTCCTGGTCTACACTTCTCAATAACTTCACCACCACAAAAAAAGTAAAGTATTTTTCCTTATTCTGAAAGGCAACATGAATGGGTTTTTGTTTTAAAGACATACTGGGTGTGGACAGCAATTCTCTTTCCTCCTATATAAAAACCAAGCGCAGATGAATACTCTGAATCCTTGCAAATTCCATAGTACTCAAGAGGATAGAACAATCTGCATCCACACACTTAGCATTCCGTACACTAACAGAGCTACACTGACCTACACAGCTAAAATCTGTGATTGTACCCTAGATTTGATAGTCTTTCAGCCTCCCCTACCCACCAAAAGGTTTGACTGGGTCCCTTCCACATCACCCAGTGCCTCTTCCCTGCGCTGGACACGCACAGCCCCACACAGCATCATTACACCACAACACACAACCCTGGCAATTTCTTTCAGCTTGTTTGGTTTAGGGTTTTTTTTTTTGCTTGTTCCCCTCCTTCTAGTTAGGGAAAGGCCACCAAGATGCATCAGTTCATTCACAAAGATGCCCTCACTGCAGCAGCAAGCACCAGGACATCTCTTTCTGCTCGCTCTGCGGATATAGGTGTTGCTCTGACAGCAGAGCTCAAGCGTTGCCATCTCTGGGAACACCAGGTTTCCACCAGGAACGCTGGCTGAAACCTGAGTGCAGTTTAGTGCCGAGGAGTCCAGACATGCAAGTTAAAAGGTACAGTTCAGCCTTTACAATTAACAGCTGTCAATGGAACCGGTTATTAATACGGAGCGCACCTTCCGTAAGGAAATATTAGTCAATAAACTTAAGGAGCCGTGTTTGTACATTAGGAGTTCTTCAAGAACTTCTCAAGAAGTTCTTACAAGAAGAAAAAGAGCCTCTCTCTTGTGATCTTCATAAAGGCCCCATGTCCGGTTTGGAGATGGGAAACCGGGAACAAATCAAGGGGAAAAGGCGACTTTAGTGTTTTTTCCTTTTTAATGTAGTCGGAAATCATGTTACGCTCAAATTCAATTCATCTAAAAATAATTAGTCACGAGAATTTGCTTCGATTTGCATTATGAATACTTCATTTAAAGTAAATAGTTTAGTGTTAATCTTCCCTTTTAAACTCTCTTTACAGAAACAAAGAGCTAAAACCATAAATAAGAGGGCATTAACCATAAAAATGACATTTGCCAATATCTTAATTTTTCCGCCAGACTTGATAAATCTATCAAAACCAGACAGTTAAATAAGAACCACATTATAAAAATTAGCAAAAAAAGGACTATTAGGTAACTCTGCAAACTCAAAATATGAAACTGTACTAAACAAAATATGTGCAAAAGTATACAAGAGTAACTGCATATAGCAAGGTTAAGCCTGAATTAGTTTTAAAGCTTGCCCCGGTGAAATTGGATTCCAAGTTGTCCCACTGTATTTCTTTTAGGTTGGGTTGGGTTTTTTACCTCTTTCAACTCACATTGTAAGTCAAATAAAGAACAAAATACACATGATAAACTTCCAAACGAAGCTGGTACTGGACAAGCACAGAGCAGGACACTCACTCAGCACGAGTGCAGCATGCCACTCACAGAGAGTTCCTCACGAGTCCTTAGAGAGTAGTGTACAAATTCAACACTGCATACGACAGCACACGTTATACTCGACAACTTGAGAAGGTTCTCGGGGGGTTCTGTCTGGATTTGCCTTGTGGGTTTTTTTGTTTTCCTTTTGAGACAAGCTTGCTTTCTCAGGCAAGCCTCTGAAACGAAAGCAGTGCCATTTTTGCGTTGCAATGTTTAATGCATAAAAACCAGCCACCTGGGCCCTCCGCAATCGTTCTCTTCTAAGAGTAAGGACTATGGGTGAACCAACAGTCTAGAACTGTGTGTAGTTATGTGCAAAACATTCACTAGCACTCTTGAATCTCAGGTCTATCGTATGGGCTTAGGAAGTGACAGATGCAGGTAAAGAGTAATTTCAGGATCCAGCACATCATCTGACATCTACAAAATAGCCAACGGAGTTGTAAAATGGCAGGTTCTCCCTAGAAAGTGTATTGAAATGATTAACAAAGTAACAAAATGGGCAGAATCTAACTTTGGTGAAAAGTCTGAACATTTCACATAATGCTCAACAAGCCAAAGTAAGGTACCATCTGTAGCAAAGACTAGATTTAGATTAACTGGTAAGTAGAGACAACTCTTCAAAGATCATAACTGTAAACTGCAAATCTACTTCCAAGTCTCTTACACACCGTTCAGTCCACACAGGCCACGTTCATTTTGCTGTAAAGACTTCAGCCTGGAAACACTATGAAAAGAAAGTTCCTTTAATTGGGTCTTTATAGGAGAAAAGGGTTAGTTGTATTTGTAGACTGGGATGCTGACGGCGGGATTCCTGTACTGTGAAGAGGTTGGGTCATTGATCCTGCAATGCTCACGTTAAGACCCTGGCCCATCCTCGTTAGAGATGCCACAGTGCCCATAGCTGGTATCGGTGCCATTCCCACAGGCACTGGGGCCATGGAAGACAGAGGTATTGGTTCCATGCTCATCGGTGGCACAGCACTGAAAGAAGGGCTGGTTCCCATCACGGGACTCGCTCTCATCTGATTTAGAGTAAGTGGCTGAGGCTGATTCACTTGGAAGGGGTTGATTGGAGTTGGTGCTGTAGCAGCGCCTAGTTTTGAGAGAAGGAGGAAGAGGGAAAGAGGTCACACCTCCATGAACATGAGGTCTGGAGATGGGCTTTTCTGGTAAAGAATACACCTCCTGTACATCCCCACATGCTCCCAGCCTCCAAACTCCAGGCAGAGAAACCTGAGTGGATGCCATTCAGCAAGCTGGGGCTGCCCTGGTGCATGACCACAGCCCACTTCCTTGAATCTATAACTGCACAAAATGCCCCTTTGCTGATCAGCAGTTTCCACCTCTGACTAGCCACTGAAGAGAGAGAGAGAGAGAGAGGGTTCCAGATCTGGTTACCTGGAACATGCCTAACCATGACATTAAATGCGCTTTATAGATGAGAACTGCAGGCTCTCTGCTCTCCATTACTGCAATGTGCTACTGCAGACCTGCACATTCGCTTCGCGATCCCATCCAGTCAGCCCCATTTTGGAGCTGTACATGTTGCTGGCACTGAGGTCTGACAAGAATTCATAAAGTAAACAAGTTGTTTCCGAATTACAGCGGTGCTAGAAAAAGTACAGAGTAACTTTCCCAGCCTTTGAGGTTCTCTGGACTGCTGCCAACACTACAAATTCCTTCTACCGTACATGTGTAGCGTTATTTGGATGGCCCAGTGACCCCTTATAAACTTTGTGTAGTAACCGGTAATGGCAGATACACAGACTTCCTCTGGCTCAGCGCTGCCAAGGCTCTTCAGAATTACTGGGGGGGGTTCCTACTCAAGGAGCTTAATAAACTGCTGGGTTTTTCCACTGGAAAAGTGAAGAATATAAATACTGAACTAGTGTTCTAAAGTATTTCATCATACGAGTGTTACACAGAACTTTCAGTGCCTGTGAATAGCTTTTAAAAACCACATACATCATCCCCGTGTTTAGTGTTACTATTTAAATCTGCTACAGGTGAAGTAGCCCCATTTCTAACAGGGGGCAACTTACAGGAGAACTACAAAGGCTATTCTCTTCAGAGAGTGCTTTGATCGAAGGTTTGAGAGCTTTGAGGGTGCTGAGGTGCTGGCACAGGGTGCCCAGAGAAGCTGTGGTTGCCCCATCCCTGGCAGCGTTCAAGGCCAGGTTGGACACAGGGGCTTGGAGCAAGCTGCTCTAGTGGAAGGGGTCCCTGCCCATGGCAGGGTGCTGGAACTCTATGAGCTTTAACGTCCCTTCCAACCCAAACCATTCTATGATACAACTGGCTTATCATGCTGGTTTAAAGACAGCCAAACCGGAAACCCACTAAATTATACTGCAGAGTTTGCTATCTGGAACCTCAGGCTGCAGTCAGAGATGTTACTGTGCCAGTCACAGCACAAACAGAAGAGCGATTCCTACCTGCTTGACAAGAACCCACTACCTATGACTTTCCCAAGGAATTCTCTGCTGGCACACGTTCACATCTTACCTGTTCTGACAATCAGCTTTAGCTCAGCCATTTTTAATAACCCAAAGCCGCCTTCTAACACAGATCATTTTGAGAGAGGAAAGGCAAAAGTGGAAGAGAAACTGTTTGAACCAAGCTCAGCCAGTAGACAAGATGCAAGAGAAGAAACTGCTTTCAAGGTCCAGCAGTATACCTTGAAACTATCCTGCCTCACCCTCCTGCTCTCAGTCACGATCTGCTGGCTGAAGCAATCAAGAAAAACAAGCTCAAACCAGTCTATATTAAATCAAAGAGGACTGAGTTATGCAGAGTTTTCCTACAGGAAGGGAAAGTTAAAACAGAAAACTGAAGGAATGTGCAGACACAAACCTGGTGCCAAGAATGGATTCAGTGAAGTAACAGGTTGTGGTGGCTTAGACACCAGTGAATCCAGGTTCACCAAAGCAGCATTGGGGCCCAAAAAAGACTCAGGGGTTTTCCGAGCTGCGCTTTGCTTGCCTGATGTCATGTTCGAGTGCTGGGAGTCAAAGAGATCAGGACTTGTGGTACCGCTATGCTGAGATGGCAAAGTGGAACCTGATTCAGCTGAAACAACACAAAGAGAAAAACAAAACTTATTAACCTACACAGTCAAGCAAAGAAAACCCTGAAGTCTCACAGCAGAAATGTTTTAATATCTAACGTTTGTGTTAGTCAGATTTAAATGTTTCAGTACATGTTACACCCTTACAGCATGCAAGCAGGTAATGTTCTTTAGGAGAGTATGAAGAAGCTACAGTTAAGAGCTGCAGTGCTACTGAAGGTGCTACCTGATTTGCCCTGATGGATATCCTCACAGCTACGCTGCAACAGATGGGACTAAGTCTCCAAGAGATTCAAAAGCCCTTCTGCCCTTGCACTACACCACTGCTGCACCCTTCCTAGCTAGATTCCACCCAGGTTGTCTCTTCTGTGTTAAAAAAGCTTAGCCCAGCTTTAAATTAGTCACCATCCTCTCAGGCAGAACCATCCTGAAAGTACATTTCAATGTTAAGGTCTGGCAGTTTTTATTTGAGTGACTAACAAGCAAATAACAAATAAAGCATTCATAGAAGTGTATTTTCTCATCTTCCTACCATTGTTATACACTGGAATGTACATGTTTGAGAAATGCAGTCAACACTGTGCAGTTTGACTCTGAGCCATACTCCAAACATGTTTGTCTTCTGAATTTACAGCATCCAACAAGTTTCTGGGTCAATGCAGCAAAAGGTTACAGAGTGAATTCTCTGGCTTACAACACAAAAGGCCCATTCCCCGTAAGTTCATGCACAGGCCAAAATGTTAACAACAGGCTTTTACTGCTGCATTATCACCAGCTTTAATCTCTTCTTCTGTGAAAGTATATTTTGTTTGAAGTAAGATTTAAGAGTAGAGACATCTGTTGCTGAGATTATGACCCAAACTGTCCACATGCTGAGAATTTGATTCATACCTGGCTTTTTGGAAGTTCGAAGTGTGTCAAATTCAGAAAAATCATCTTTAACTGTACCATTCAAATTACTGAAGAGGTCAAAAGATGTACTTCCTGTTCAAAACAAGACAGCCCTGTCATTAACAGATCTGCAGTTGTATCACACATCTGAGCCTACTGAAAGCAATTTGTAGCCCGTTTGTGTACCAAGAAGCCACTCTGTCAGGTTCCAGGGCAGCAGTTCAGATCAGTTGGAGTGCTCCTACTCTTACTCAGGAGCACTCCAGGGAGAAGGATAATGTGAGAACACTGTCCTTTCCTGCAGTATTAGCCAACTAAATCAGAGCAGTGTGCCTTGAAATCTTAATGTAAGGCACACTCAGCTTGCTGGGGTTTTACTGAGCGTCTGCACTACAGACATATAGGCAGGTAAATATCACTGCAGAAGAGAACAGCAATGAATTTACAGCCTAAACTATAAAGTGTGTTAATCGGCCCTCAAGTAGAACACACTTCTGAATATAGCTCCAAAGACAAATGTAGCATCACTACAACTTAAGTGATGATTTGATATATGCTGCTGAAGTTAAAGGGACGAGGAATGCAATAGCAAAGGTTATCTGTGCCACGTAGAGATGGAAAAGCCCTGTTAGCTAAAGCACCAGAACTTGCCTGTAGTTTGCAACCAGTGAAAACATTACATTTTCCAAAGGTGGACACATCCTTACCTCAGAATGGAGGAAGAAAACCCACACCTAAATCATCAGCAATCACACTCCTGAAAAGCTTTACAGTTTGCTTTGGTTTTTAAATTATTATTAGCTGAAACGTTTTTCTGATTTACTTTTAACCTTCAACATATTTCAAGCACAAAAAGGTACAAATTCAGTACCATAAAGAACACAGACAGGAAACCCCAAGAGCACAAGAGAAGACTGTAATAACCATACTTGTTATCAGGAACAGAGACCCATCATAGTTAAAGAACCATTCTCATACTGATCCAGTTATTGCCCTTTGCCCAGTGAAAAGCTGATTAGACAACTTCTGCAGTCCTCAGATTTCCTTTGTCTGTTATGGACTGAGATGAACGACCAGCAGAAAATGCATTCAGGATGCATTCAGCCGCAGTGCCAACACGAAAATACCAGGTATTAGGGCTCATCAAGGTTGCATTAGTTACAGAGCATGAGCAGACAATTACATCAGACCTTCTGCATCTTGCTACACAAGGGCACAGAGATAGCTTTCACACCCACAGTCTGAAGTAACAAACCTTCATTTGCACCTCTAAAAGTCTCCTCAGAATGTGGAGATGCTCAACCTGTCAATCTACATCTGCAGAGCCATCCATCTCAGAGCCATTTATCATAATGAAAGGTAAAATTACAGTATCATTCATTTCCAGAAATTAAGTCCTTGTCTCATTACAGATAAAACCCATTTCAAAACCCAAGGGCAGCAGCAGTCAAGTGCTCAGCATGCGTCCACAGACACCAAGAAAAGAGCGTAAAAGGGACAGAGCAGGAAGCAGCAACACAAATTCAGAGCTCTAAGTCAGAATTATTACATTTGAAGTTCTTTATGCAGCCAGCTATTACAACTGCCATTTATTTTACAGACCAGTTCTGCAAACTGTTCAGCACATCACTTCTTTTAACCATCCAATGCAAGAAAATAACTTGGATTTCACCTCCGTCACTCAAATACGGATATGGGATGAGACTGTTTCTCACCAGAAGTGGAGAGAGGTTTGTTTGCAGGTGCTGGTCCCCAAGGATCCACTGAAGATTTTGCTGCAGTAGAAGATGGCTGAGCAGGAGCCCAAGGGTCAACATTTTTGGACAGAGTCTGAGCTGTGGATGCCGCTGGTGCTGCCCAAGGGTCAACAGAAGCAGCTGGTTTGGCACCTGTAGAAGAAGCAGCAGGAACACAAGTCAGTCCCATTTCACTTTGGAAAGCTTCCCTTGGAGATTAATCTATTTTATAAGCCATTCCTGCCAATTAATACTAGACACCACTAAGTGTCTAGTATTAATAAGTTCAGCATCAGGAATACTGATAAGTCTCAGCATCTGTCACACATACTGAACAACAAGCACAAGTAAACTCTGTGCAAGGCAGATGAATAAAACAAATCTTCCATTTGAAACTGAACACGTAACAAAACATAAATAAATAATCTGCACTCCCAACAAGAAAATAAACTTGCTTTTGTTACACTGTCACCACAACAGAAATACCTGACTGAAGGTGAAGGAAATTAAAGGGTATGTTTATGACCTCATGGGAAAGAAGGTTTCTAAAAGGTATGAACTGTACAATATTAAGCCTTGAACAAAGAAATCTGTAAGATTCAAAGGGAATGGTTCTCAAACTCTTTTAACCACACTGTTATTTCCCAAAATATAACGAGCTTCCCTGAACTAGTTGTGCTTGTTTGTTCCCCTCTGTAAGCACTCCTCCTGCCACAGATCTAAGCTGGCCACTGATAACCCTGCCTGTATTTCTTTTAAACCTAGTGCCTACATGTTGAGGTTTCCCATTTTTACTGGGAGATGCTGACAGCTCTTCTCCCCTACAAATTCACATTACCAAACTGCTTCAGGTCGTGCTCAAGGTTAGGGCTTCCTTGTGCAAAGTGGCAAATTAAAGCAGTAAAAGGGGAAGGAAAGAGAACAAAACTTTTCTCTCTGTACACAACTTCCTGCCAGTCTTATCTTCTCCCTCCCACTATTAACTTACCCCATTTCAGCTTAGGTGACCTCTTCTTCCTTCTACCATTACATGAAACTAATTTGGCTTATCCAGGACTGCTGAAGCAAACCACATTTTAGGTGGGCCAGGTCTATGGTGGAAGGTATCATTCTTGCTTTGTTCCTACATCATCCATAGCTGCTGCCCCTCCTCAGCCATCAGAGTGGAGGAGTGGGAAGCCAGTACTGACAATGCACAACGCTACAGTGATCAATTCCCTTCAAGTCAAATGGTACGTGCAAACCCATTTCCTCTTCCCAGTGAAACCTCTCCCAGTCATGGTTTAATTACTAAATGAGAGCTGTATAACCCAAGAGCGGGCCAGAATTACCCCTGCAGTACACAGCTATTATCTTTAACCACCATGAGGGTTTCCAGTTCCAACTGAATATTGGTTTATCTTTTAAAACTACACACAAACACCCCCTTGGCATCACAAGAGTCTTGAAAACCAATTCAATGCTACATACAGTGGCACAACTCCAATTTGACGCTTTGGAATTGTTTCATCAATATGCCACTTTGGTCTTTGTTTCACCAACAGGCAGCATTGTCTTGCTACAGCTTTGGATCAGGAAATACTGCAGTTCTCCAAGCAAGCCCAACTATTCCCACATCTGTACTTACACTTCCTTTAGCTGCCCTTAGTGCTGAGTTATGAGCAACGCCACACAAGAAATGCCAATGGCAGCACTTTGCATAAATGGAAGCTTTCAGGAATGTCTTTTCTTTCATAAAGAGAGTGCACAGAATTAAAGCACTTGGGAAGACACCTTCCCGTAGCTTCCATTAGCACTGAACTGCCAAAGCACAGGCAGGATTTGAGAAACACAGTTAAATGACTCACTCTTTTATAAGCAAATCCATAAATCTTACACCTTCAAGACTATTCCTTGGGAGCCAACACACCAGCAAGCCGCAACAAGGGCTTGTTTTATGGCATTAATAAAGTTGGGAGCCACCAGGAGGAAATGCTACAGGAAGGAAAATCTTGTCAGAGGATGACAGATTGCACACAGCATTTGAAGAAGGTGGATTTTGGTTTTTAACCACAGAAAAACACACTGAACAGCCTCAGGGCCCTAAACTTGGACTGTCTCTGATTTCACACCCGTGATTTATCACCAGAATAGAAACAGGCTACATTTAAAACAAAGAATTGCAGTTGTTCCAGCAGCCATGTAGGTGCCTCTAATGCCACCACGAGGAGGGGAAGAAAAAGTAATGCACTTTATTATTAAGTTTCAAATTTTTTCATCAGGAATCTGGAGGGTGGTGTGCTGAATGCTAACACGCTCTGAAGCACTTCATAGCAGAGGTTGTAGAATCACCAGCCTGAAGCAAAAGTGACAGAACTAAGCTGTTAGTCTCCATGAAAAGCTTCTGGAGCCGACATAAAACCAGTTCCAATTCCACAGATGTAGTAAGTTAAATACATCCTATGAGAAGCCATCAACTTATGTATGCAGAGGAGTAACTCCTTGATCAGACTTTGGCTAACCCAGAAACCAGCACACTACAAAGGCAGCAAAACATGCACGCAAAAGCAGACACACAAAAATAGCGGGCTTAATGGCTCTTTGAGGTTGGAAGCACTGGATCTTTCGCTTCAGAAACAGATTGCATGAACTTAGTATCAAAAAGCTTATAAACCAGTGAGTATTTAAAGTGGTAAGCTCTTTTTTGTTTCTTTAGCATAAAAATCTCAATTTAAACTATTTAAGCTATTTGGTTCTGATGGCACACACATCACATTTCACTATGAGCAATTAAAGACACAGTAATGCAGATCTATGGCTTTGCCAACCATCGCACCCAGCCTAAGTACTCCACTAAATACTGCCAAGAGCCTAACCCCATGACACTGGACACAACTAGAAAAGCATGAGTATCCCTCCAGTTGTTTTTGCTCTACAAAGAGTACAGAAGCTTCACTGGTCCTCTTCTTTGTTAAGATTCAAAATGCATATGCAAAACCCAGCTGCTTCAAAGGAGTGCAACTTCCATTTGTTTCTGCTTGGAGATGAGTTAGGGAAACATTAGTTCCAGAGTATGGGAAACAATCAAAATGAACTAACACACTGCTCCTATAAAGCACGGCATTGTACATTGAGAAACTTCACAAAGCTCAACATGAAAAAGCAAGAAACTCCACTAAGCATTCCTTCTGGCACTTTATTCTTACCAAATGATTGCCATGGGTCAGAGGCAGTAGCTGCAACTGTGGATCCTCCCCAGGGATCAGTTTGGTTTGCAACAGCAGGAGGTCCCCAAGGCTCTGTTTTCTGTGGGGCCGGTGCCGACGAGGGCAGGGCATCCATTAGGTCCAACAAAGTGGTATGCTGAGGGCAGGAATAATCTGAACTTTAATCAAGAGCATTAGCAACCCCAAGTACAAACCCATGAGAGTGAAGAAGCAATTCTTTAGTTTTTCCTTTTACACACCTGCATTGACTAATAGTTTGAAATTTAACCCGCATGGAAGAAGCTTTAAGCTATACAACAAAGCCATTTCCCAAAAGCATAAAAGAGCTCAGTATTAAGCTATTTTTGTGTTACTGTATTTCAGCTTTTGGCAGCATAACCGGGAATTTCTTAGTCGAAGGCACTACCTCCTTCTTTTTGGGAATTTTAATTGTGTCTCTGCGACTCTCCTCCAGAGCCATCTGTAATCTCAGATCATCTCCGCGTCTGAGGCGCTCCTCCTGCAAAGGAAATCAACACTGTTGATATAGACCATTAGCCTAGACTGTGCTGTTTGCTCCCTCCAAGTGCCTGGCCCCCCTGGCAGGACTCTGCCAGGGAAGGCCTGGGCAGTATTCCCTGCCACCCTTGGAGCGTAGGCACGCACAGTGGGATCACTGGGAAGATTTGCTCTAACTTGGACATAACACAAATGGGGGAGTGGAATTTGTGACTCCTGCCTCAAACAGAGGTCAGGAGCACGCTGACCCTGTAACACCAGCATAGCAGTGTGATCACAACCATTTGGCTGACTAAAGTTCACCCTTGTACTGTTTTACACCTAATGGGAAAGCTGTAACTTGAATATTCTTAGTATTATAGAATCATAGGTTAGGGTTGGAATGCTAGGAACACCACAGAACTTAAAGTAAATACCCCATCTCTAAAGCACTGTGATGTTTTTAAGCATTCAGATCACCACTGAAGGACATAGGGATTTACACTTCAATCTTCCTGGCTTTTGTCAGCTTCCCTCCACACCTAAAGCAACAGTTACAAAGAACACTGAACAAATTCAACCAGCTATTTTGTAGGTTTTAAACATCTGTCAATTACCATGTTTGGGGCACATTCAACCACTTTAAATACCTTGGTTTGCATCACAGCTCTCAGAAGCTGACTAATTCCCCGCTTGGTATTTCCCTTGCGATTACGTTAAGCTGTGTCAACTGATCGGGTTCTGATTTTTATTCTCTTTATTGCCCCATAATGATAAAGTTTACTGGGTGATAGTTTCCAAGCACAGAGGTACTAATGCTTAACACACAGCAGTAAGCTGAAGTTGTCACAGGAAGACTAAAATATCACAGACACTCAGCATAGCCAGCTTGAATCTTCACTCATAGCTGAGATTCAACAACTTTATCCACAATTCCAGCATTTACTCCAAACTTCAGAATGAACCTCCTAAGAATTAACACAGTAACATAACCCATATTATGTTACTGATACCTATATATCCTGATAGATGAGGAGCTAAGTTACTTTAAATCAGGTTCTTTACGTACTTTAGTACTTTTTGTCACCTTTCTGTTCCGACCTTAGCGAATGAACAGATAGTTCAAAATCTCATTCTAATCAGAATTCACTGACATTCCTTATGCTGGCCCCATTAATGAAGGTTTTCAGGACTAGTCATGTTTTCAGTTCTTCCTAACTGAAAACATCTTCAGTAATGTGATGATTAACATCCTCCCACACAAAATCTTCTTGCAAAGTGACAGTCATCTTCCACTAGTCTCAACAGCTCGGAGGCAGAAGTTATTTTAAAAAGAGATTTCAAAAGAACACAAAAGAGTAACATCTTCCAAAATGGCTTTTTTTTCCTCTCCCCCTATTCCACCTGGAGCAAAGCCAAGCTGCCATTGAGAAAAACAGCACTGTAGCACAACTAGAAAAGCACGGACACTTTGGAAACCTACACAGGCACTGACCTGCTCCGCCACTTCCCGGCTCATGGCCAGCGCCAGCTGCAGTTGGAGCTCCTCTTCTCCACTTGTCTGAGGCCGGGCCTGCTCGAGCTCTGAGGAAACTCGAGGGGATGTAGCTGTTGGGAGACAAAAGCCAGCACATTTAACACACCAGATACCACAAAGATGCAACAGGTTGGATTATTTCTCGGAGCAGAGCATCCTATTCCCACAGAGCCTTCTCAAAGGTCCCCAGCACCATGCGCTCCCTCAACCACCAGAGATAAAGCTCCAAGGGTGAGATTAACAAACCAGAACAATTAATCTGGGAAAACTTTCCAAGATGGTTCAATGTTCCCGGAAAACAAAGGCTTTCTGTGCTAGTGGGGCTGCAACATCAAGAAGTATCACCAATGAATGCTGGATACCCTGTCTCAGCGTTATCAGAGCTTCAAGAGACAACACACTGACTTAAAAACTACAGAATTCATCATTCAAGAAAACATTTGTTGGTGTTCCGTCTTCCAACATCAGTAGGGATTTGCTGGGAGTTGGCCAACAGCAGGGTAAAACTGGATACCACCCACTTTTCTGTATAATAATACAGTCTTAATGGGATAGATAAAGAACTATTCTTAACTGCTAAGCAGGCTCCCAGGCAAACAAGCCTGCTATTCAGCCTCCAAACTCACAAGAATACTATTTCTCTGATAAGAAAAGAAAGTTTGGTGGATAGGTAGGGGGGTGGTTTAGGTTTTGGTTGGTTTTTCTTTGGATGAAGACCTCTATGAGCTCAGATCCACCCCGCTCCTCAAATAACAGCCAAGCCTGACAGCTAAAATACACCATTTCTCAATACACAAATCTCTTCCTGATGTTATCACCACAGGAGCAGGCAGGAATTCCCATCCCAATGGGACAAAAACTACTAAGTTTGTCATTACACAGTTATTAAACATTTTTTGATGCTCTCTCAGGTAATTCTCTAGCATCCCAATCACTCACACAGAAATCTTCTCTTACGTCAGCATGTTTGCATTTAATGGTTGGAATAATTCATAAGTTTGACAAAATGTATACTGGCTTTTAAGCAAAAGGAACCATACATTCAAACCAGGATGTCAAGCTCAAAGAAATCAAGTTCTTTGTTAATAGGTCAGTTATTGAGCATGTAAAAACTTCCAAACCCCATTTTTCAGACACTACTTTAACTTCCAGTCTTGCCTCCCACAAGGTTTTAGGCCAAAATGACACTACCAAACAAAAAAGTGCCACCTTCTCTCTTATCCAGCAGACCAGAAGGAAGGTGACTCTCCATAAACAAGGACTGACCTTTCCTCGCCACCGTACACTCCACGTGCCATCCCATCCCACTCCATTTCTAAAGGGACAAATTCATTTATCACCCAGGACAATTCTTCCACAGCGTGATCCTGGAAGCTCCAACCAGACAAGCTCCTTATTTCACCTAAAGACATTACTCATACCTCTATTCTAGTACTTTTGCAAACTTTCTTATATAAAGTATCTAAATTTAGCCTGCTTAATGAGTACTTTTGCTCCAGTGATCACAGACAGGCTCCCTAATATATTATATGGACTATTAAAGACTTAAAGTAGGAATAAACAGGGCATCAGATAACAGGATGTTCGACAGCATGGAAAATATAACCTTCAAATGTTTGTAAAATCTGACTATGCTTAAATACGAGAATAAAGAGAATTAAAAAGAAAACATAAGGTAGCCCATGACAGAAACACTGATTTCCTTCTCTGATTTGTCAGTCAAAAGGAAAAGTGTGTGCACAGCAAAGCATTTTCTGATGCTGAATAGGATGTTACTGTTAAGCAGAGAGCAGTGTAAGAACTGAAACACGTAAAGAACCAGCTAAAGAAGAGATTTCATCATGCTTCCCACCACCAAGGAAGCTTACTAACAGTTTCTCAAGAACTGGCTTAAAGACCAACCTTCACAAAGATTACTTAATAAAGAAATGCAGAAGGACCTAAGAGAGAAATAAAACTCATTTCTTTGATACCCACCTTCTGCTGACTGCAGGCATCAACTGCAAGTGACAGAGATGGAGAAAACTTACTTTAGTACTCACGCACGCAGTAACTCCCAGCCACTCACCCCATATGGCTATTACTAACATGAGCACTGCTGCATCAAAGCATTAGTCAGATTTCATTTGACATACCAGAAATGAAGTCCAAAACAGACGATTTCAAAACAGAAATGGTGTGGAAACGCTTCCCTTCTGAGCATAGAGAATATTTTATGTGCTTATCTTTGCAAAAAGAAGATTGAGCAGTTTAAGGTTGCTAAATAACACTATGGAGGGAGAACAGCTATTTAGGATAAGGGGGCAAGAACTTAATGGCATAAATTGACCATGAATAAATTGGAGATGCTAATACAAACAAGCTGCTTTTCAGAAGAAGCTACACAAGAAGAGTCGTAACTGGTTTAAACCCCAAGCTGGATAAGCACACAAATGGGACACCACCAGAGTCACCCGAGAACAGATGGCAACTGGACTGTGATCAGGCAGGTGCCTTCTGCTCTCCTCTTTCTTCAGCTGCATTTGTGGGAAGAATGTGATTTCCCACCCCTTTTGAATAGGACTTCTTCCATCTCTGTTGACATAACTACATTCAGTAGCAACTAAGAAGCAGATGACTTCAAAATTAGGTGAAATAGGTTAATTCTGATGATTTTCCTCCCGTTTCCACACAAAGGACTACTTAAAGTGCTCACCACTTTTAGTTTTTAATGGCACATGGCATTTTTGCTCTAAAACCCTATGAGAAGAGGGGACTGCATCCTACTCCAAGCCTCTACTTGCCCTCCCACAGTGGGTCCTTGCCTCCAGCCGTGCACGGGAAGGACAGGCTTGCTTTGGCAGAGAGCTTACATTACCTCACAGCTCCCAGCAGAGACCAGCATTCAGGATCTGAACACAGATAATAAGGGGTCTCACAGATATAGCTTGTTTCTTTTCACTTATAGGCTTTTCAGCAATTCATTCTCCTTGGCTTTATTAACTCTCGAAGGCACTTCAGAGCTTGAAATTCTTCCTTGGGCCTCACATTAAAAAACACTGACAGAATAATCAGAGGTGGGTTAATCAGGACTGAAGGACCTCCCCTGTGGAGCCAGGCTGAGAGAGCTGGGCTGGGTCAGCCTGGAGAATGCTCCTTAAGGGGAGACCTTAGAGCAGCTCCAGTGCCTAAAGGGGCCTAGAAGAAACCCAGAGAGGGGCTTTGGATATGGGCCTGTAGGGACAGGACAAAGGGAATGGCTTTAACCTGCCAGAGGGAAGACTGAGATAAGCTCTGAGGCAGAAGCTCTTCCCTGTGAGGGTGCTGAGGCGCTGGCACAGGGTGCCCAGAGAAGCTGTGGCTGCCCCATCCCTGGCAGTGTTCAAGGCCAGGTTGGACACAGGGGCTTGGAGCAAGCTGCTCTAGTGGAAGGTGTCCCTGCCTGTGGCAGGGAGTTGGAGCTGGATGGGCTTTAAGATCCCTTCCAACATAAACCATTCCATGATTAAAATGTTGCTGGTTTACATCTAAACTTCCGCAGTGGTTATAAAACCATCTACATTAAAGAGCTGCCAACATATTTTCTGCAAAAGGATTAAGGCAAATTCAAAACACTCTTCTTGAGAGTAACCTGGTTTATGCAGCAACTTCCCTCCTGAATTCCTACAGTATTATAACTGTCTTTCTACGCTGGCCTCATCCTGCATTAACGTTTTAATTGCAAGGATCTAGCATAAAGGTTATTGCCTTAGTAACAGTATCGCCACAGCACAAAGAATCTCTTATCCCCCAGCACATGACAGTTAACTCAGATGTTTATGTAAGATGGGCCTCAATAGATCAATTCTGACCTGCTAAGCCCCGCTTTGTTGTTGCTCGGAGAATTTGGAGATCCTGGTCCCCTCAAGGCTGCTCAGAAGCAACTGTGTGGGGATCTGCTTGAGCAGGGATCCACAGCACTGGGCTGCCTGCTCAAGACACTGGCTTGCAGTGCAAGGAAATAATTTCCAACCTCAGTTAATCACTAAAGCAGGATTCTGCTCCACCATCTGTCTCTAGTACAGGCTATGATGTCTTTCAGACATATCTACTGGTAATTTACTGTATTTTTGGCTATATTAAAAGCCCCCTGTAGATGTCTATAGGTTTGGTTAAGTTAGTGACTTGAAGTGTGTATATACAGTTCACAGCTACAAAGCAGAGTTGTTGCCTACCTTAAATGATCATGACCAATCCCAGCATAAAAATCAGATTGGGTAGTTTAGAATCATGTGATGGTTTGGGTTGGAAGGGACCTTAAGGCTCATCCAGTTCCACTCCTCCTGCCATGGGCAGGGCCACTTCCACTAGACCAGGTTGCTCCAAGCCCCATCCGACCTGGACACTTATGATTTTCATTCACAAGTGTGTGTTTGGTGTTCTGGGGTTGTTGGATTTTTGTGTCACTCCAGACCAGGTGATGGCACAGAGTGACACGCAAAATAAGCTCCATCATTTGCATTTCTTTGGAACAGCAGTCAGTTCTTAGTCACATTTCTTCACATAGAAAAGCTGCTTCCTCGCTCAATGGGTACGCCTACAGAGGTAGACAAAACCAAAGCTGATCTGAAAAATTAGAGTAATACTAAGGGAAGAACTTAGAAACTGACAGTGATTCACTTGGGAACCAAGTGGAGAACCCATTTATTTGTCCTCAACTGAAAGAACATTCAAATAAAGATGGGATACTTTCAAAAAGCCAATCTAACCTCTCAGATTCTGAAAGGGCACCTGCAAGCTGCTTAATCTAGAGGGAATTGTGTACTGCACCTTTCCACTGGGAATCAAAGAGACCTTTCGAACACAAGAAGAGAACTAACAGCACCCCTTAACGTGACGAAGTGGAGTGTACCAGCTTCACTGCATGATTTCCAATTGCACTGAAGCAGACAGAGCATTTCTGAAACTCATTTAAGGCTGAACAAATCCTTCAGCTTTGGCTCAAGAGCACTTTTTCTCTCAGGTGATCCCCACGCTCTTCTTCATAGTCAGATCATTCACTGCAGCTCCAGAAGCCTGCTTACGCTGATGGCAGCTCCCACCTTTACTTAGA